TGGGATATGTTAAAAATAGATGAATACTTACCTTACGTCAATGGTATTCCCCGCACCGACATGTATATACTGGTACAGCTGTGGACGCTGGAACAGCTGTCTGCCCATTTGATTGTACGGTGTGCATTGTTAAATTTACATCGATTGGAATGCCTTAGACTTGCCAGCTCGGTACCATTGATTAAGCTTAAATTTCAGCAAACAAAATTTTACAGCCTGACGTGTGATGTAAACGATCATTAATTTTATATTTTCTGTCGCAGTGAAAACAACACTGTAGCAACTGCTGCAACACACGTACGATTAGTTCTTAAAGAGAGTTGATAATTTTTGTGTTAAGTATGGTACGTAGTGCAGTTTAATTCTTGAATTTTTGTATTCACTATTCCGGAAAATATTTTGTTCACGTAAAACATAAATACTCGTGACCTCCAAAATTTATTCGTATCGTAACTTTTATGCATGCTGGAAAATACACTTATATTAAAAACGGTGAGCTTGGGAGCATAATGATGCCACTTTGTTCTCCCTTAGTTGTGTATTCCGAAGTGCTCTCCTATATTCTTGCCCAGCAATTTCATTTATACCCATTTAGTCCTTAAAATATCATTACTTCATTTTTCAAAATTTGTTTTTTTTTTATTTTTATTTTCCATAATAGTTACACATTGACCATAGAGCAGAAGCGTGTTTTACATTTTGGAATTTAGAACACTTTTAGTGATTATGTATGGATGTCAAAATACCGCTTGAATTGCAATAGAACTTTTACAATAAATTATTTCATGTATGGCACCACTTTCTTTGGGTGTTATTTCTAAAACATGCTTTTCATCCACTATTTAAACAGAATAAAACACATATTTGCCCTTTCTATAGACGAATAATGTACTGTAATGATGGCTAATAAACAATTAACTTACCGATATGTAAATAGTTATCTTGGATGCCTCTAAAACTTTTGGCGGAGTTTCGGGTCAAGGTCATTCGTGCTAGAAATAAGTTTTTACAGTTTTGCAATGAAATACTCTGCCAAATGTACAGGTCCAGGGAGCATCATCAGCTCAGCGATATTCTCGTTGCTTCTCGTTCACCGGATGAACGGACACACGACACATGCAATAAATGTCCACGTACTAGACCGCTACATCTGTACCAGATAGTGCCGCATGACACGTTCCAGTGTAGTACAGATAGCTATAGCCATAGATGATGATACATCTACTGTAACATTAAGCATTGCCATAAATTGACTGATGTATTCAAATGTTTACATTTTATTAAATTTAAAGTCTGAATATGCTACTATAGTTATCTCTATAGCCACATTGACTTGTGTTCTTTGAACGTTGATCTATTGTTATATTTGTCTACATCATCCAGACTTTTGAGTCTTTTCGTCACTCTCGGTTCACAAATATCGCGTGACCATATAAAACGGCACGTGACTTAAAAATGTCGTCAAATAAAACTGTTTTTGTCGATAATGGATTTTTCGAGTGACAAAAAACAAACGTAATTTCAAATTTAATGGAAGAAAGAAAGATACTTATTCATACTGATAATTCATACTGAAACGTAATGCAATTTTAAGCACATGATCAAAGATTATATTTTATAGATTGCAAGCAACGTACTTTCAATTTACTTACATAAAACCACCTGTTATGTTTAGTTATATTTCTATTTTCTTTATCCATTTGAAGCAATCTATTAGCCAAAAGTTATCATTCAATTACATTTACAAGAAAATATATGAGCCGCACCACGACAAAACCAACATAATTGGTTTGCGACCAGCATGAATCCAGACCAGCCTGCGCTTCCGCGCAGTCTGATCAGGATCCATGCTGTTCGCTTGCAAACCCTTTAACAAGTAGAGAAACTGATAGCGAACAGCATGGATCCTGATCAGATTGTGCGGATGCGCAGGCTGGTCTGTATTCATGCTGGTCGCAAACCCATTATGTTGGTTTTGTCGTGACGCGGCTCATATATGACAATATCAAAGTCATTTTTAGCTCGACTATACGAAGTATATGGAGAGCTGTCTTACTCGCCCCGGCGTCGGCGTCCGCGTCCAGATTTTAGATTAAAGTTTTGGTGCAGTAAAATATTTTTCACTATAACTTTGTCATTTCTTAAGGTATCAACTTCAAACTTCAAATATATGTTCCTTATCATCAACCACATCTTATGTGACAAGGTTCATAACTCTAGCACCAATATTTTCAGATTTATCTCCCCTTGAACTTAGAATTTTCCTTAAAAAATACTATTTTTTACTGTTACTTCTTTATTTTTAAGGGATCAACCTCATACTTCAAATATATGTACCTTATCATCATCCCCATCTTATGTGACAAGGTTCATAACTCTAGCACCAATATTTTCAGATTTATCTCCCCTTGTACTTAGAATTTTCCTCAAAAATGCTATTTCTTACTGTTTCTTCTTTATTTCTTAAGGGATCAACCTCATACTTCAAATATATTTACGTTATCATCATCCCCATCTTATGTGACAAGGTTCATAACTCTAGCACCAATATTTTCAGATTTATCTCCCTTTGAACTTAGAATTTTCCACAAAAAATATTAATTTTTACTGTTACTTATATTTATTTCTAAAGGGATCAACTTCATACTTCAAATATATTTACATTATCATCATCCACATCTTATGTGACAAGGTTCATAACTCTAGCACCAATATTGCAAGAATTATCTCCCCATAAACTTAGATTATTTTACTAGAAAAATGTTAATTTTTATTATAACTTTTTTATTTTTAAAGGTATCTACCACAAACTTCAAATACTTATTCCTAATCATCAAATACATTTTATGTGACAATGTTCACAACTCTTGAAGCAATATTTACAGATTTTTCTCTCTTTGAACTTAGGATTTTCTTTAAGAAATATAATAACTTCTTTACTTTTTAAGGTATCTACTTCAAACTTCAAATATATATTTCTTATCATTACACAAATGTTGTGTGACAAGGTCCTTAACTCTAGCATGACTATTTCAAGAATTATTCCCCTTGATCTTGGAATTTATGTTAACAAATGTTATTTTTTTTACTATAACTTAATACATAATTATACATAATTGATTTTTCTTTCGTATTTTGTCCTCCTTACTGCGTCCAGTATTTTATTAGTCGAGCTTCGCTGTCTCCTGTGACAGCTCAGGCTGGTCTGTATTCATGCTGGTCGCAAACCCATTATGTTGGTTTTGTCGTGACGCGGCTCATATATGACAATATCAAAGTCATTTTTCTATATTACATTTTACCAAAATTTGATTAAAAGATACCAGTGATATAACAAAGAGGGTGGGAGTGGCTTCACTGCGTAGGGGTTAATTACAAACGTTTGTGAGTGACAAGATTGAAACAGTCAACACACCCTTAAAAATGTATGTCCATAATGATTATCTTATTTAACCAAAACTCATCAATAACTTTTATAAGCATTTTCAATAAAAACTTACTGTAAATTTGTTAATATAACCTATTGTTAGGCGAATTATTAAATGATTAGAATAGTTTACTAAATTAAATACCCAATACAGCAGCTAGAGTCTCGTTCGATCTTGAAATCCTTTGTGCTGTGTTTACTCTAATATCTTAAACATACAATTTTGACTATTCAAATTAAAATTCTTATGTACTAAGAACTACATTCTTTTTTGTTTGTCTGTTTCGATTATTGTACCACATTATGTAACAAACTATTAGAAAACAGTTTCGGCTTTTCACTTAAGAAAACACTGCGGTTTTAGCTCAATAGAGAACAAATATGCTCAATATGAGCTATTGTGGTACCCCACGTCTGGCGTCCGTCTTCACCGATATCTGGCGTCCGTTTTCATCGATATCTAGCTCCGCCAAAGGTGTTGGAAATATACATGAATGATTCTGTCTGTAGTCTATGTTTCAAGAGGTTAAATCCGCCCGTTTAGAAAGCCAAAGCTGCGTCGAGAACGAACCCCGGATATGTCAAAGTTAATTTTGAGGCACAAAGTGATGATAATTTACCTGCGGAGTATTAGACAAATATATATGTTTTTAGTCACTGTACGACGGAACATAAATGTACTGTGTATCCAAATATTAACCTATAGCTCTTCAGCGCTTCTTATGTAAAATTCTTCCAAGTATAATTTCCAATAACCGTAAATTATACCATACCCAGACTATGGTATAATTTTCAGTTTTGAAGATCGAAGGAGTAAGTGTTTCTGGGCGGAGCTATAGGTTAAAACAGATACACCATTGGTGCGTTGACGATTTCTGGGTTTGCGTAAATTATACCATAATCACGTGACCTTTCTTATGCAACCTCACTCGACTTCGTCTCGTGAGGTTAAGGCATAAGAAGGGTCACGTGATTATGGTATAATTTACGCAAACCCAGAAATCGTCAACGCAGCAATGGTATATCTATTACATAACTTGCATGAAACATATTTCAGGTATCTGATTAAAACACATTGATTTAAACCATATGAGAGACAGTGCAGTTTCAATGAATCAGAACTCTTTTTGTTCTAGCTCTTTTTTAATTACTTGTATTTCCCTTAATACTCGTTAACAGCCTTGGACCGATGTCAGTACATACCCTGGGTGGTCCTATAACTTTGAATTGATAGATCCTTACTCTGACCTTTCATTTGAATAACAATAGATTAAACCACAAACAATGACATATGCTCTTTTGTTAACAATTATGTTGTGTTGTATCCACTAATCTGATAATTAGAATTGGACAGGTCAGGGATCTATGCATTGAGTTTGAAGGCACTCGGACCAAAGACATCAATGATATAAATTTGTATGCACTTTTGCACATGCAACCTTTATCTATTGACCGAATTTCATCTTTGTATATCTGGTTGGTATATACTTTTGATGATTTTCTAATGGTTTGGTTGAGTTTGGTGTGACTGAGCTCACCGATACCAAAATAAAATAAAACACTTTTCCTCATGCACTCTTCATTTATTGACATATGTCTTTAATATTTGATAGATTCATTTATATTTAATGTTCAAGCAAAAAATTAAATGAATAGTAACACATCTTGAAAAAATCACTTCAATCATGAAGTTATCATATATTTTATATGGATAAATCAATTATGCACACAAAGGCATAAAATATAAGTAATAGAAAGAGCACCGAAACACGAGGCTATCTGATTTGTACGAGGGGGCGTAGCCCCCGAGTATTAATCAGATTACCGAGTGTTTTGGTGTTCTTTCTCTTTTGTATCATAGTCAAACATAAAAACACGTTCCCTGTTGTTACAATATGAAACCCCGGCAAAAATGAACCATTGAACGAGTATCTAAATATGACATTTCTGTCGATTTCACTTTCACTGCCGTCACAATATGTAAACCCCAGCAAAAATGAGCCAATCAATGGGCATGCTCTGGAGTGCGGGTAACTAATACCCGCACTCCAGTTAACGCACTGTGCATGTATATGTATACGATTTAACCCTGACACATTTTCAACAGAAAGGCCTCCAAACTATGATACAATAGAGGGTTAATTAATACACCCTTTTATGTATACTTGCACAAAGAACTGCAAGTTTCAAATTAATTGTAATGTAATATTACCGATGCCAAGACAAATGCATTCGCTATTCATTATTATACATCTGTTTTTGCTTACGTGTTGGAGTATTTTCAATCCGCATTGTCTCCGTGATGAATATGAATAATCGGCACCGTGTTCCGATATGGCGCCCTGAGCCATTTTATTCCATGAAACAACAGTGCGTGCTTCTGTGGTTTTATCATTCTTCGCCTTGCGTTCGTAGATTTTATGTAAAAGTGTTTTTCATACTTAAAGATTGAGTTTTCGTGCATTTAAAAATAGCAAAAACAAAAACTACAAAAAAGGAGTTTCTTTATTGATTTGACATTTACGTAATTGCTAAGTAAAAATCTGTATTTGTTCATCAGACATGCTCCAGTCCACGTGGTATACTAACGGTTCAATATAAATACTGTAGTACCAGTACATTGTACTTTTATTTCGGAAGTAATAAAGACTTCCATTTTAAGCAGACACACTGTTGAGTGCTAAATACATATAACAATATTTACATGTATGTACAATTTTTGTATCTTACAATTTTATCAACAAGCATAACTAGAAAAAAATATCTGTTGGTTTTTCAATTGAAAGAACTATAAACTTTCCAGCTAATATTTGTGTTTGTAATATTAACCATGTTATGTTTTTCAAGAAATACTTACAACTATACTTATTTAATACAAGTCATTCATTAGTATTCAAAAGTCAATTTAAAAGTCTAGGATCAGCGGAATAATAAAAATGAAAAATTGGGAGACCCAAAAACGGAACTTTCATTTTTGTAGACCATCGACATCATTGTTCACATATATACCGGTAATTAACAAAGCAAGAGTAATCATTAAATTTAAGGTTTTTAATTCGGACGCAGTGATGGCTCCCAGCGTTGTCTGGCATATTTTGCGACCAAAAATTGTTGTCCATAGGCATTACCGTGTTGTCAGAAAACCTCCATGCGTCGCTGGCGTGATAATCGGCGGCTCCTATGTTCGATCCATCTATCCAGTACTGGCCGCCAGTGTATGCTTCAAATGCAATCAAAAACAATTGGTGAAATTGATTAAAATAAAATGTAAGATGACCTAGGGGAAAAATACTATTAACTTTTTCTCCCTTCACATTGTAAGTGGATATCAATGCTGTAAATAAACATTTATTTACTTTTACATGTATGTTTAATACATTACGTTAAGATGTAAAATTTTATACTTTTATAAAGAAGCATACATTTCTAGCTGTTTTGTTAAAATTTCATAAATGAGGATTAGTCCTTTGATGGTAATCGGATTGGTGACCATTTGGTACTATAAAACAAATGGACGGACAATGGTTCAAGATTAAAATCGTTGTAACTATGACCTTAGACTTAACTGCCTCAAAATCAAATGAGATCATCTAATAGCCATGAAAAACCTGCCATGAGGCAAGTATTTGGGTCTGTTTAGCAAATGGTTTTGTGGCAAATGAGCGATGTTTCCATATCGAAGGCTATTGTGACCCTTACACTGACTGACCTCAAATTCTTGGATACATTTGTAAATCTCAACGAAACTACTCATCATAATGATATAAGCAAGAAAAAATTATCTGAGATAGTATGAAAATGAAGCATGTTTCAATCAGTAAAATGCACTCAGCTACAAGGTGCTCGAATTTGAAATGGTTCACCTCATCATTTGAAATATCTTGCCATTATCCAGGTATTACAGAAATGACAATCGAAACTCCTCGCCGTATGCAATCAAAAGATGTTACCGATTGTTTGCACGGTGATAGGGCGATTACCACAACTTTTCCGCGCAACGTCAAAATATCTTACTTCTGTCCGAGACACCGTATATTTCTGTGGTACAAAATTGACAGCAAGTCTGTAACCGAGACGAAAACAGCAGATAATTTGCTCAAAACAAGGTAAAATCATCATTTTTCTTTTTCATCGAATGTGCCATTTAATTTGAAACTTATTTATCCTTACTACATGCAAAATGCTTCATTAATTAAGTCAGGATAGTGAAAACATTTAGGGCATACTGAAACAAATCTTGCTTTGATTATGAAATATAACGTATTTCTAGTCCGTTCAGTTCATATAACTGGCAAAAATACAATATAATATATGTACATTGTTGTCGTATGAACAAGTTACAATACATAAATAACCGTTTTTGTATATTTGGTACGATTTTTTATGTTTCCACGTGTGTATTTTAAGGCACCGCACAACTTTGTCAATCATAAGATTAGGGCACCGCTTTTCTTCCTCCTTAAAATCACCGCATTTTTCTGTTTTTTTTTAGCACCGTTTATTTTTGATATTAATGTTTGCTTTCAGAAAAAGAAGACGTTCAAACCTATATCTGAACAAGCCAAGCAACGTGCGAAATTTGCAAAGCTTGCATATACTTCTAGAAGATACTGCAGCAACTGGAGAGCGCCCAACTAAGTCTTCTGATATCAGCAGTACGCCAATGGATCGGCGCCTCCTGTATTTCAGGACGATATGCTTAACGCACCACATTAGAAAAAGAATATGAAGTCAAACTTTCGCAAAAGATTGTTTAATAAAAGCACATTGGAGACCATGACTGAAGAGATTATGGAAATATTGCCCGGGTTCCTGCAAAAACTACATCATGAAAATTTATGTTATGACTTTTGCAACTTTATCAAATTAGTATGCAATAAGAAATTCCCATTAAGAATATTTCATTCCTTTTTTTCTCGATGTTGTTAGATGGTATAGTCTGCCAAGAACTTCAATCTTTCCATGTGGGGTTTATCAGTTTGAATAAGTTCGAAAAGGAAAAGACATCCTTATGTATATATAGATACCATTGCACTTATCTATAACTGGTAGTATTAAGATCAGACCTTCTGAAATTTTCCATAACATAACGTATGATAACAGCAACATAACGTAACAGCAAGTAAACAATCTTTCATCAAATGAAACATATTTGTATGAAGATTGCATAATTCAAAAGAAGACGGTGGCCAGTATTTATCGATCTAACGGAAAAAGAATGCGGTGTTTGAATTCAGTGTTGTACGGTGCTCCAATATTCGGGTCAGTAGGCCTTTTTCAACATATATTCCCTGAAATTTACGATAGAAACACACAATTTTGTATGGAAACTTGAACTTAGGGTTAACCATAATAAATATACGAGCTCGTTAGGTCATAGAACAAAGACATCGTCGTTATAACACACGTTTTTGTGACAGGTACGAGTCATGTTGAGGTACACACGATCTTTTGTAAACACTATTTCTTCGAAGTATGTGTTTTTTTGTGAATTGTATTGTGCTAGATTAACGATAAATTGTCTCAAAAATTCGATGGAATACTTAAACAATTGGAATAATCTTGCAATGTCCAGCAGTAAGATATTTTGTAAGCTATAACCTGGAATTTGTTTATCCCGCCATTAATATTTTGTCCAGAAATATACGGTGTCTCGGTCAGAAGGATGGTATTTTGACGTTGCGCGGAAAAGTTGTGGTAATCGCCCTATCACCGTGGTTTGACTTAAGGGCGAAATAGCTGAGACTACCTGAAAGGGCAGAATAGCTTCAATTAACTGAAAAGGTCGTACACTGTTATTATTAATTATTTCAACTGTTTTATGTAGAGATATATACCTGGGCAACCACTGATGAGATTAACAATATAATTCATCTTCCATAGTTCGTCTATTTTCACTAATTGGGCTCCAATGGACGCACATGCCGCTACTGCGTTAGCATGGGTTACACTCGTAGTAAACATCTGGGTCCTTGCGGCTAAATCTAAAATGACCAATTATAAAATATAAATGAGAATAAAATGCAATTAACACAATGTTTATCATTAAAGAAATTCCACTGAGGTACAAAAGCCTAAAAAATATAAATTTTTTTTTTTACTTAAGTCAGCTGGAACACCTTAATCGTTTTTCACATTCTTGAAAAACTGAGTGATTGAATGAACCAATCTTGCACACAAGTTTTTGTTTGTCTAAACCTGTCTCAAGTAAAACATTTGAGCCGTGTCACGACAAAACCAACAAAATGGGTTTGCGACCAGCATGGATCCAGACCAGCCTGCGCATCCGAACAGTCTGATTAGGATCCATGCTGTTCGCTATCAGTTTCTCTACTTGTGCGAACAGCATTGATCCTGATCAGACTGCACGATGCACAGGCTGGTCTGGATCAATGCTGGTCGCAAACCCATTACGTTGGTATTGTCGTGACACGGCTCATTTATCTTTAAAGATTATTTCGAGTCCTGGGTCATGTCAAAAAACTTCAGTGGAGTCCCATGAAGAAAGAACAAGTAGGAATTAGCATTTCAAAATTATTGAATGTTGCCGATTAGCAATCACTCAGTCTATAAACCAAACATTTAAATCAGCCATTATATATCGTTTTGGATGTCGATCAAAAATTAGATCATAATTGAAATAAATTGTTTAGACATACCTTAAATTATTTAATTTGTATCATGAGTAACCTCCTCCAGGTGGCAGTGTGAGAAAGGATATAGCCATTATGTTTTGAAAATTAAGTGCGGTCACTAACTAATCCCCTATGGATGTTAATCAAACCCAATGATGGGTACTATCAATTGCCTTCTTAATTAATTATATGTCCTTTGGAAATATGTCCTGTGATAAGATGCATGTGAAATTTTTAAAATATATTCTGGGTGTACACAAAAAAACATCAAATGAGGCAGTATGCGGTGAACTAGGACGGTATCCACTATATGTTGATGTAATATGTAGTTATGTTAAGTTTTACCAAAGACTGCTAAGTGGAAATGTTAGCAAATTACTATGTGCTGCCTTTATTGAAAGTCAAACATTATTTACAGATAAAAAAGTCTGCTGGGTTTCTGGTATACAACATTGTTTTAAGTATTTAGGTATATCTGATGCTGGTTTAACCAATAAGAACTTAGTAAATGTTGTTAAACTCAAGTTAGTGAAAATGTACCAAACCAACTGGTGTTTGAATATCTCAGGTACTGAAGGGAAACTTAGAACATACTCTTTGTTTAAACAAAGGTTTTGTAGAGAAGTGTACTTAAGACATATTAAGAACAAAGATATAAGAACTTTCTTCACCAAGTTTAGAGTAAGTGCACACAGATTGAATATAGAAACAGGCAGATATAAAAAGATCCCAGTAAATCAAAGGTATTGTAACTGTTGCTCTTCCAATCTTGTAGAAGATGAAATTCATTTTTCCATGTGTTGTACAAAATTTGATAATAATAGAGAACTACTATTTAGACAAATTGAAATATTAAATAAGAACTTTTATATGATGAATAATAAGCAGAAATTTGTTTGGTTAATGTCCTCAGAAGACCCTAAAATCTTGAATGTCTTTTCTAAATACCTACTCGAAATTTATAATAAAAGAAATCTTATGTTAGGTAGTACTATTAGTAATAAAAATTTGTCAGACCATTGAATGTATATTATTGTACTTGATTTATTTACTTCTTATTTTAACATTAATATGCCTGTGTTTTTTTTTGTTTTTTTTCCCAATAATACGAATTAAGCTTTAGTTACTTTATTGTGTTCATTTCTACCATACAATACACAATTTGTTGGTTGATATATTTTGTTTCATGCCTTATTTTTTTTTCTTTTTTTTTCTATGCTTGTGATTATATATGTCATATAATATGACCCTTGATTGATTAATATGGTCACAGTCGCAGAAGAGTGAGCAACTTGTTCATTCAAACTAGTTTATGTTTGCCATATATAACCACCTCCACAAGACCACCCCAGAAGTGAAATATATAAACAAGTTGATTCGAGCCCATTAAAAATTGCAATCAATAACTACGTCCGCGAGACTATCCCAGAAGATAGAGATATATACTAGTTCATTCAAGCCATTAATACCAACCTCCTTGAGACAATGTCATGAATAATTTCTTCCACGATACAATCCCAGTAATGAGAGATAGACACTAGTTTAGTAAGTAAATTCACATATTTCCAAATAGCCGTAAGCATGTCGGACACATCACATTATGACCAAAAAAATAGGCTTATTAAAAATGTTCATGTAAAGTTTTTTTTAAGGTATGTAGATATTATTATGACTACCTGCTTGTTCGGCCGTAAACTGTATGCAGTTGTAACTTCCAAAAGTATTACAACAATCTGCATTAGCTGCGCAGCTATTTGGGATCTCACACTCGTTAATATCTGAAGTAAAACAATCATCGAGATTAAGTAAGGCAAATAGTTTTATGTATTGTCTTTTACACGTCCATAGTCCGAGTGTTTAGTCATTGACTTCGGACAACTTGTCCGTCGCCGTTGTGGGTTCCGAGTCCCACCGGGAGCTTGGATACTTTCGTGTGAGAAATCTATCCAGTTAGCTTATGGAACGTCGATGGTGTTACTCAGGTGTCCGTTCAATACTGAATTTAATGTACAGAGGATCAGGTAAGCTATTTTTGCACCTGTGAAGGTGAACAGTTGTCATGTGAACTACACTGTCTTGGTGCGACGGAAAAGCCAACTAAATATTTAAAAGAAAATTGTTGATTTACATATACAAACAAGCTATGTACTAACATTCATGTCTAAAATCAAAATAGCAAATGAGTAGATAAAAAGACAACATGAACACCAAACTATATGATACGTTTTGACAAATGAGGTAATTAATTAATAATGCTCAGTCAATGGTCAGGATTTCTCAACCTTCATAGTTTCTTGTTTTATTCGCTTAGAATGAAGGCTCTTATATCACAATATAGTACACTTTGGGGGGGGGGGGGGGGGGGTCTAGAACTATATCTAGGACACTATCATGAAATAGTTATTAATTTACTTCCATTGATTATCCTGGAATAAAAATGGCCGACAATAGTTTTATATCTGGATTCAAAACTTTAAATGCCCCAGATTGGATTTTGCGAGTTTTTAATTTGGAATCTAATTATGCTTTTAGAATTTATGGCCTAGACAGTCGTAGCAAAATACGAAGCCTTAGAAGGCTAATATAAGATAATATTCCGTACATATTTACAGTGCATATACTTCATTGTTTTGCCAGTAATAGGTAAACACGTAATTTCAATTGTAATCTTAGCTAACTCTGTCAAAATATTTGTACTGTCTGAATAAGTTTCAAATAATAAATATAATTTTCTAGAAACTAAGTTACATTGGGACACTTCAAAGTACCTTGACAAGTTGGTGTGTAGTCCCAATTTCCATCGTTCTGACACACCATGGTTGTCACGTTATTTACTTCTTCAAAGCCTTGATCACAGAGAATCGCCTTCTTAGAGCCAATCTGGTTCATGTTACCAAGGATTTTTCCATAAGCTAGGCTTGTAAAGGGACTGCATTCTGTTTAACATATTGTAAGATACTTTTAAAAAGTATTTGATAGACGCTTAAAGCCTTTGTCAGATTCGAACGCAACATGTGTTTTATATGACGTCATATTTCATAAAAAAATTATTATGCTGTTTGGCTAGATAAATAGATATAAACTTTAATTTATCTCTTTTTCATTTTACGAAGTTTTCTCCTTCAAATCGATGAACATAATGTTGCATGCAATACCGCGTGATCACTGCGGTATACCGTACCCCGGATATTGCTCGATATTATGAGGACTTTCATCCCATTTCGCGACTTTGAAGGAGGAAAGAAGGTAAGTTCAGTGACGATATTTAGTAATTTTGAATTAGTTTGATATAAATTTTATAGAAAAACAAATCGATAATTTCTCTAGTTACTGAAACCCCAAAAATGCTGAGAAATAGCTTTGAAATGTAATTATGAGGTAAAATTCGACTCTTTGCTCACGTGATAAATGAGCTCGGATCAGCCAAATTTGATGTTTTTGTGCATATACTTTCTTAACAGAAAAACTTGAATCGAGTGAAATGTGATAATGATGATAATGTTTATGTTGTATATGTTCAAATCAACAATAGACCTTCAGATGACAGTGCATTTTGAGAATAAATACACATGTCAGTGTACCGAGTATTGCGTTGGAGTTGCCCGCCGGTGTCACGAGTATTGCTTTTAGTGTAACGAGTATTGGTTATCAATATAGAGTAAATGCAAATAGTAAACATGTAGTATTTACTACATTTAATCTTATATATTTCTTATTGTGTATACTTATTTACACTATATGTGCAGAATATGCAGAGTTCGGAGGCACTTTACTGGAAACATCTGCAAATAATCCAGATTTTCATTCCTGCTCATGAAAAATCTCAGTCGAACGAACTCAGCAATTTTCTGTGTTTAAAAAGTTCTCGTTGCTATCGAAGGATCAACCTTTCCAGAATTTGTTAGTAATTATTGCATATCTTACTTTAAATAGTAAAAAAATGCATCCGAAGTGAATTAATGCTGCCTCAAGATTGTAGACAGTATTGAGCAAGTGTCCAATATCTAATATCAACCGACTTCCTACTATGCCCAAAATACATATAAAGGTAACTTTCGGTCATTTTGCACCTGCACTATAGCAATGGCAGACTGTCTGCACGTGAAATTTGATACGTCATTAGCAATGAGTTACCATTATGACTGCCGAGCGGGCACAGCTAAAAAACCGAATAATGCATTTTGACAAGATTATGATAAAGGACAGCAGATGCAATAAAAAGGTTATGTTTCTTATAACCTTTTACCTCATTAAGGCGTGTTTTGAAGGCTTTACATCCCATATCTTTTGAGGCCAACATGCGCTGTTTAGACCCCAAACACTGTTTTTTTTTCGTTTGAGAAATGTTGTTCAAAAGAGCTAGTGATCACTTTTTCGGCGCCACCCCATTAAAAAGATTCATCAAGGGGATGCCACAAAGGGGGGTTGGTGCCCCCTTCTCTGTTTGGGATTTTGAAGTTGGGCAGTAGCCCCTCTAATCGCCGAGAAGATTTTGGACTTGTGGGGGGGGGGGGCTAAAATGGCCTCAGGTCGATTTAATTAAAGATACCGTGTAAACTCCGCCGAAAACCTTTGACTTTATCTTAATCAAATGAGAAGTTGCTGCACCTTGAAATCAGTTTTGATTTGAAAAAAACAACGCAAAATAGAGATTTTTGGTAATTTTGAGAGGTCCACCCGTTGCCACATGGTAACTGGAAATTTAAAATTGAGCATGCTATTCCACAGGCTATGGTCCAGCCAACATTTGTCCCAGTTTGATTAGTATTGAAGCATTTTTTATAGTTTCATAGCAGCTTGAACTTGTAACAAGAGGCTTTATAAAATGAAAACAGACATTTTTCGCAATATGCTCATGCAGTAAAAGGTTAAGACGATACCGGCATGCTTGGACGGCATAAGCCCTCGGGCCAATATTTTACTAAGTGTGTCGATATGTTTCTTATGGCAAACTTGCCCTGTAAAACCCTATTATTAATGTCATCTAAATATGTTTCTTTTATTCTTCTTCTTTTCAGAGATGGGTCTTCTTGATCATAGTTTCTTGAGACATGTATTTAAAGATTATTATCGTCAATTATGATGGTTCTACCCTGCTCCCGACCCTGCACACTTTATTTCATCCATAGTGTGATTTTCAATCAAATGGGAAACTAAATCTCTGCATTTGCCGTAGGAAAAGAACAGTAATAACACTGAAAATGCATTGTTAAATCTGAAATATTTGAATAAATATCATATAAACAGTACATCATCAGCAAAATGATAAACAGACGTGAAAAAGACAAAAATATTGATTTTCCATACTAATGTGCTCATTCTGTTTTGCAATACAGTGTACACTAAAGTTGGGCTATTTTGCAATACTCTGTACACTTAAAATCAATACTCGGTACACTTTCTTGTTTCTTTTTTGGCCTGTATCTTTTTGTACTTTCACAATTTTTGCCTGAAATTTGGACAAAGCTTACTTGGTTTGTGAATCAAAAAATTGCTCGATTCATTTTTTTTATATTGGTAATATAATAATTTCTAACGATTCTACAGTATCGCGGTCACTATTTTCTAGTGAGCAGAGGGTCGTTTAGTGGTAGTTTAATCAAGTTTACATATACCTGTAATACTTTTACGTCTTTTAGAGCTACAAAAATAACTCTAGATATATAAAACCCGTTGAGATAAATGAAATAGCCATTTGTTTGGAAAATATCGTCGCTGAACTTACCTTCGTTCCCGTTCAAAGTCGCGAAATGGGATGAAAGTCCTCATAATATCGAGCAATATCCGGGGTACGGTATACCGCAGTGGTGATATGGTCGCACAATGAATAAGAAACATTTACAAACGTCTTCAGATAAGTCTGAACAGCGTAAGATAACAGCTGATATTATAATGTCATCAATAATTATGTACCCAATATATAATATTGAAGAATCTTATACCCCAAAATTATTAAATACAGTTATACTTATTTTGTCTAATGACAATTTGATATTCCCGAATATTCAAATGACAAGAATAGAATTGAAAAGTTACTTTATAGTCTGTAAATGTATGCGAGAAAGTCTTTAAAAGTTGTTTAACCAAATTGTTTAGTTGCTTGTGTATGACTCGAATGAATTTTGCTTGGCCAATATCGCACGGCGCCTTAATTTGAAACATACTAGGAAATCGACGAGCATCAAATAGATCTACAAGTCCTAAAGCAATGCAATAAAATTTAACATTTATTTCCATTTTGACATGCTTATTAAAAGAGAATTGATAAATGTAAAAAATACGTTGGACTACATTATGCATAGGAGTATTTTTCTTGACTTCATCTGGTTTATTGTCGTCAATTATGACTTCATATGGAGTGTAAGCATTCTTTTTATATCGTGTAATAATGCACTTGATTTAGTTGCCCTGTTTTAAGCGTGTCATAATTGTATTGAATTAATTAAATAAAAAACCAACCGTAACGCAAAGAAACGACGTAAGAAACGTCACGCCGGATAGTGCACTGGTATAATATTTCTGATTGGTTGTATTTGTGAATATGTTCCCAGCAATTGAATATAGAGCAAAATAATTTTGTACATCTATATATTTACCTTTCTTAGGGCAGGTAACGCCGTTAACGCCACACACTTTGAACGTCTGAAATGATACGTTAGCATAGCATATTTACATGTACTTTGTTTTATTTTTTGATTTTAGGTATATCTTCTGTTGCGTCAGTTTTCATTTCGACCCAAAGTTCTAGTGATATAGCTGACCCTTGACAATAACATATAGCTTATTTAAATGCACTTTGCGTTTTATTTATTTTTAGGTATAGTACAATGTACCAATAATAATGGAATAAATACGTGTTGCTTGCGTTCTATGCACAGACACTTGGGGTTTGGAGCTCAAAACGCCTTTAAAATCCAAATAAAATGCATATTTGTCAATCCCAGCACATGTACTGATCATAAATATAAAAAAAAACTTTATATAAGCCGTTTTAAAAAAAAAAATCATATTTCAACATCTATAATATTATTTACACTGACGTTTGAAGGAGTCAACAGATTGCAGTATTTTTGGTACATATGTTCGAAAGACCAGCAGTGCCATTACAACTTCATGAATTCTCGATTTCATCTTCATGAATTCACAATTTTTACATCCTGAAATCCCGTTTTCAATATACGGAGTTCACGAATTCACGACGTCAACTTCATGAATTTAACTTCGTGAATTCACGATTTCAACTTCACGAATTCATGATTTCAACTCCACGGATTCACGATTTCAACTTCATACATGATTTCAACTTCAGAATTCATGATTTCAACCCCTAAAGTTTTGCATCTTTTCATCATCAGACTTTGGTAAAAAATGGTTTTCAGACGATAACTCTTGAAGAAGTCAACATATGGTAGTAATTTTTGATAAACATATGCAACAGTATAAAATACAGGTCATGTTCCAATGTGGATTCAGACTACTAAATATTCACAGAGTAATGCCCCTCGTACTCTTCAGACTTTTTTTAGAAAAAAAAAAATTGGGCGATGAGAATAAGGCTAAATATATTTGTTTTCTTTTTTATTTCAAATACTAATCTTTCTTATCCGTTGAATTACATCTTCAGTTTGAAGCATGTAAATGTTTAAAGAATTTTTTATTTTGATTAAAAAATATTTCGTGCACTTTATATAACATTTGTTGGTTTCATCTTTATAATATAATTATATTAGGATTTTAGCTTTACATATAGAATTTGCTTAATGACGACACATTATCGCAAGTTTGGTACTATTTATGTGCTTGCTGTTGTATGCAGACTTTTTACTATGGAGTGCGTTTCTGCTGAAAAATTCATTCATATGTGACTAAAATTATATTATGATATTCTTGCGCATTCAACAGTAGTTCTGTTGAGTTAATAGTGTCTTCCAAGAATTCACAATGACATTATTAAAATATTATCTACTGATACGTATGCTAGTTATGTAATAAAGAACTCACATCTGGTATCAGCATGTCACTTCGACTGATGGTAAGAAAGTCTCGTTGCACAGACGTTGTCAAAGAATCCGTATATAGGTCACACATGTGCAAAAATCGCCTGTAACGCACGGCCTCACAGTTGCCCCTCTCTGCGCACTGTTCGACGCACTGCTGTAACGAATGATCCGTTGTAATGAGGAAATTAAAATCCTCCGAAACTTTTTCGTTAAAACCAACATTGAATTTTATTTGACAGACGACATCATTCATTAAAAAAGTTACAAAAGTTATCAAAGTAATTATTTTTTCCATAATGTGTAGAGCTGATAAAAAAACCCGTGTAGAGCTGATCAAGAAACAAGTCACTGGGCACTTCTAACGTCTCCAGTCAATGTAAACATTCTAACCAATGAAAAAGATCGTTCGTTGACTTGTTTAAATTATTTAATTCAATTAATATTTTATTTGCCATGGTCGGTTTGTTATGCTAGTGTAAATAAAGGAATTGTAAGCATTAGAATTAAAGGAGATTCTGTCCGGTATAAAAAGGAACGTCACATGTGTTCAACGAAAATCAACAAACGTGCAGTATAATAAATTGAATATTTACGTTACAGTTATCCAACACATTTTATCTGTAACATAACAGAATAGTTTTGATGAACTACATTTATATTATAACCGAACTGTGTTGATAAACAATAGTATCACAAAAACGTGTTGATAAACTATATTTTAACAAAACTGTGTGGTTAACTACATTAAAACAAAAATATGATGATAAACTCTATCATAACAAAATTGTGTTGATAAACGATTTAAAAACAAAACTGTGTTGATAAACTATTCAATAACAAAACTGCTTTGATAAACTATATCATAACAGGACAGTGTTGATAAACGATATTATAACAAAACTGTGTTGATAAACTATTTTAGAACATAATCGTGATGATAATCGAAATAACGATAAAACTGTGTTGATCAACTTTATCATAACAAAACTGTGTTGATAAACTGTGTAGCATCAAAACTGTTTTGATAAACTAAATTTTAACAAAACTGTGCAGATCAAACCTATGTTGATAAACTATATTATTGTTGGTTGTTATTTTTATGGGTTATATAAAACATGCATTAAAATAATTTGCATTGGCCTCAGTTTCACATGAACTAACATTAAATACGTTCCGTTGGCTTTATATTTTATGTACGAAAGACCGGTGGTGACATTGCAACTTCTTGAATTCTCGGATTCATTCTCCCGAAGTCACAATTTCAACTTCATGAATTCACGATTTCAACATAAAAAATAACAATTTCAACTTCATGAATTCACGATTTTAACTTCACAAATTCACGATTTCAACTTCATGAATTCACAATTTTCACTTCAATAATTCACGATTTTTACTTCATTAATTCAACTTCATGAACATAACGATTTCTATTTCATGAATGCACGATTTCGACTTCCTGAATTCAAGTTTTCAACGTTGAAATCGTGAATTTATTAAGTTGAATGAGATTGTTAATCATGAAGTTGAAATCGTGAATTCGTGAAGTTGAAATTGTGAATTCATGAAGCTAAATTCATGAAGTTTAAAACATGAATTTGCGAAGTTGAAATCGTTAAGTTGAAATGGTAAATTCATGACGTTGAAATCATGAATTTTTGAATTTTGTATGTTGAAAACGTGGACTTATGAAGTTAAGTTATGAAGATGAAATGGTTCCCTAACGGTCTTTCGTACGTAATAATGCATGTTTGATGATATGGCGACTCGTTTTTTAGATGACTTACATGTTATATGACATGTTGACTCGTTATTTAGATGACTGACATGTTATATGATCTGTTGACTCGTTATTTGGATGAATGACATGTTAAATAACCTGGTGACTCGTTATTTGGATGAATGACATGTTATATGACCTGGTGACTCGTTTTTTTAGATGAATGACATGTTAAATGACCTGTTGACTCGTAATTTAGACGAATGGCATGTTATATGACCTAGTGAGTCGTGATTTAGATGAATGGCATGTTATATGATATGTTGACTCGTTATTTAGATGAATGGAAAGCTATATGACCTTGTGACTCGTTATTTAGATGAATGGAAAGTTATATGACCTTGTGACTCGTTATTTAGATGAATGGCATGTTATATGACCTGGTGACTCGTTATTTAGATGACTGACATGTTATATGATCTGTTGAATCGTTATTTAGATGAATGGCATGTTATATGATCTGTTGAGTCGTTATTTAGATGACCGACATGTTATATGACCTGGTGACTCGTTATTTAGATGAATGGCATGTTATATGACCTGGTGACTCGTTATTTAGATGACTGACATGTTATATATACGACCTGTTGACTCGTTATTTAGATGACTGACATGTTATTACGACCTGTTGACTCGTTATTTAGATGAATGGCATGTTATACGACCTGGTGACTCGTTATTTAGATGACTAACATGTTATATGACCTGTTGACTCGTTATTTAGATGACTAACATGTTATATGACCTTTTGACTCGTTATTTAGATGACTGATATGTTATATGACCTTTTGACTCGTTATTTAGATGACTGATATGTTATATGACCTATTGACTCGTTATTTAGATGAATGGCATGTTATATGACCTAGTGAGTCGTTATTTAGATGAATGGCATATTATATGATCTGTTGAATCGTCTTTTAGATGAATGACATGTTATATGATCTGTTGACTCGTTATTTAGATGACTGACATGTTATATGACCTTGTGACTCGTTATTTAGATGAATTGCATGTTATATGATCTGTTGAATCGTTATGTAGATGAATGGCATGTTATATGATATGTTGAATCGTTATTTAGATGAATGGCATGTAATATGACCTGGTGACTCGTTATTTAGACGAATTGCATGTTATATGACCTTTTGACTCGTTATTTAGATGACTAACATGTTATATGACCTGGTGACTCGTTATTTAGATGACTGACATGTTATATGACCTGTTGACTCGTTATTTAGATGACTGACATGTTATATGACCTGTTGACTCGTTATTTAGATGAACTGCATGTTATATGACCTTTTGACTCGTTATTTAGATGACTTACATGTTATATGACCTGGTGACTCGTTATTTAGATGACTGACATGTTATATGACCTGTTGACTCGATATTTAGATGAATGGCATGTTATATGACCTGTTGACTCGTTATTTAGATGAATGGCATGTTATATGACCTGGTGACTCGTTATTTGGATGAATGACATGTTATATGACCTGGTGACTCGTTTTTTTAGATGAATGACATGTTAAATGACCTGTTGACTCGTAATTTAGACGAATGGCATGTTATATGACCTAGTGAGTCGTGATTTAGATGAATGGCATGTTATATGATATGTTGACTAGTTATTTAGATGAATTGCATGTTATATGGCCTTTTGACTCGTTATTTAGATGACTAACATGTTGTATGACCTGGTGACTCGTTATTTGGATGACTGATATGCTATTTGACCTAGCGATTCGGGTTATATATAAGCCTACGACTGAGCCATATAATGTCAGAAATCTTATATTATAAACTTCTTTTTTATTTTACAATTAACCGGCTTCGACTTAAAGGGATAACCAATTGCAACCAGTATATAGCCATGCCAGCCTGCTTATCCGTATAGCATAACCAGGATGCTTGTAGGTAGCTTAATGCTTGTACATTGTATTATTTTGATATTGAAAATCCCTTTAACTTAAAAATGGATTGTTTCAAAATCAAAGCAGGTCAAAATCATTTCACAAATTCAGCAGGAATTCCAGGTAAAAGACTAAAGTCTTTATCAAATGACAACTTATGTCAGACTTTATATTTGTTTGTGCTTTTTTATTATATTCGTTAACAATTTGAAAATTAATATTACTATTCTGAATAATTGATGCTTAAAAAGGATTTCAGAACGATTTGATTAACCAGTTGACGTGGCGCAAAGTTAAGATGTTAGTCAAAGATTTTATCACAGCAATAAATATAACCATTTTTCTGTCAAAGTACATATATAAAAAGCGTCAGTAAACACTTTACGGGAGTTATTTAATATGGAAAAGTCAGCACCTGGGAGCAATAAAGACACTTCGAATTACCCACAAGCATTTCAGCAATTAAAATATATTGATTCATTAAAAGAACAGGCTCGAAAAGTAATTGAAAGTTTAAATATTTATAATAATAATAACAAAATACAATAAACAAAGTGGTTACTAGTAGCTATGATTAGATTAAAAGGTTGAATCATGCCCCCTGCCATGGAAACATTAATAATTAAGGTAGCTAAATCTACTTAATGGAAAACAAAATTGCAGGGCGAGAGTAAATGTCTTGTAACGGAAAATAAATTCATTAAAATGCATCACTGGTAATTACACTATAAAGATTTCACGTTGATGCTTACGTTAATGTATATCCTTTACACGTGCAACCAGTGCAGAACAAGATCAGCCAGCACACCCGTACCCATTATTCTTGAACCCCACTGCTCGCTTTTCAGTCAGAAAATGATTTTTTAAAAATTTTTACTGTGATAATTGATCTCGTAGATATTTGTCACTGCTCATTCAGAAATCATGTAGGAATAAAGTTTGAAAATCGGTCACTTTCGGAGAAATTGATAACTAGCTATAACTAATTGCTTGTAATTCAGGAAAGCCGTTTAGGTGAAACCACCGCCGAGATGTGACCAAAATGTGTTTGTTAAGTCGGCATAAAAAGACAACCCGCCCCCTAAGAAGAAAACATAAAAACGTAAAAACCATGAGAAAGTTCGGTTATATACTGTGAGTGATATGTATTTTATTTCACCGATAAAAACCGATTATACTAAAGTAATAATCAATAGTTACTTGTGCTGCCATGTGGAGTTATTTATTGGCGCATAATGACAATGTTTGCATATTTATCTGCGTTTGACTTGGCTCAGTTGAGAGTTTCAAATAACGTCTTAAAATCTTGCTAGTCGATACTTATATTTTTTATTTTTGGATAAAATGAATATCTCATTGCACAATAGCACAAATGGAAGCTATTCAAGCATTATTTCGAACAAATTAATCTAATAAATTTCAATTTATACAAATATTGAAAAACGATTTGGTAGTGGTACTTAGGTAGATAAATTGGTGTGTTTATTTAAAGGGACTATATAAAATTAAATGATAAAAAATGCCAGAACAAGAAAAATTATACTAGAATATAACTGACATTAACTGGATTTTCTCAATTTAATTAATTCTATAATCATCTGGGTAAAAAACAAAAAACAAAAAACGCCTGATAGAACAGGATATTTTTCGAAGCATCTTTTATTTTTATGAATACAGTCACAATCTATGTACTAAAGTACTTTGTTATATCAACACAAGTTTTAGATATTTCAATTCGTAAAATTCATATAAGATCTTAAACTTAAACATCAAAATTATTTTCATTACTGTTTCATCAGAATTTAAATGGCACTTGTTTGGATTGTAAGTGTATATAAGTATCGACCGCCATCGTGAACTCTACCTCAAATATTTCAATGTTGCAGATCGAAAATAAGTCAGTAGTCAGTATTTAAGCAGAACTTAGTTGACAGAACTCTGGAACCTAAAGTACGTTGAAATGTAGCATATTTTGCTGTGCTCATAGTTTTCAACAATATTCTTACGACGAAACTTGTTCTGCTTCGAGATTTTTTCTTGAACGATCATTTGCTCACTCCATTTATGCATAACAGAATATCCATTTATATGAAGCAAAATGAGCTAAATGATCATGAAACACTTTTTAACTCAAATCAGTCTTAGAATAGCACTTAATATCCATTTAATTCTGCATATGTTTTCAGTTTTAACTGCCCCAGTTGATTTATGGAAGAATTTCAAATTTAGGCCTTTGAACCTCATTAGAGGCCCTTTAAGATAAAACTTTATGTAAGCAATTTAGACCGTACCGTGATGAATATATATTGCCTAAAAGGAAATTTATTCTTTTTTTACAAATGAAATGAAAGTGTGGAAGAAAGAAACCTTTCTAGTACGGAAACACATGGGTGACAAGTATCAAAGCCATAAAATTTATTGTGGATAATAAATGCCACGCATAGCTGTCATGAATTAAGATATTGTAGGAACTGACAATGTAAAATAATCTCATGACATATATTTGCTACTAAAACATTTTTTCAAACAAAATTATCAGTGGCTTGAAACATAAGAAACAAAGCCACCTTCGTCAATGTTTAACTTTTATTAAGAAAAAAATTCATGTCAAATTTTGAGCAAGTCGATTCTGCTAAGTGTTTACGTACACTTTGTTTGGTGTAAATATATTTTGCAAGCTATAAAACTGTAAGTTTTTATAAAAACGTAACAGCTGTTGAATTTTACACAAGTCAGCTATCAATACTTTAACCCAAATGACGTTAGGCCTACACTTTGCGCTATGAAAACAGCACTGAACTGCGTTAACAATGGTTGTGTCGAAAAATTAAGTCTCAACGTTTCGCATGTGAAGCGAGAACTCCCATCATATAACCTATCAATAATCTATATAACGAATTTATGATACAACAGAACCACTTGGTTTCAGGAAAAAACGAAAAATAGACAGCAGCTTTGTATATAGATTATAGGTTTTATATAAACGTCACGATTATCCGATGGAAAGCCAGATTACAAACGTGCAGTATTAAAAAAACATCGGTACATTTATATGTGCACGTTCTGTCACTTACGAAAGCACAGAGCAGAACATAACTCCGAATTCATGATAATTTGTTGTTCCGTAAAAACAATAGCAAGGGCAAAACAAGCCAAAGCAGAAATCAGGTATGCATAAAAACATGTTTGAATAAGTTAATCCGAAGCCGTATGAACTGGAAGACATACGGCTTATTCCTTTGACCTACATTTGTAACTCTTGACAGTTAATTTTAACACCGTATGGATCAATTTTCAACATTGTGAATTGACGCTGCCTGTTAATTTTTGATCAAAAAGTCATTGAGAACTGATCGATCAAAATAGGATCGTTTTTAATGGTCAGTTACATTTTTACATTTTATACGCTTGTAAGAAACAGGATCTGTTACAAGCGCCACAAAAATTATTTTTCTGAGGGTCTGCCACTGATCAGGGGAAGTAACCGATGCTTGCATGTTGCTGGCACACCAAACTCCTCGCAACGGTTACTTCTTTTTATAAGTACACTACGCCGTGGAAAAGGGGAGATCACTGCGTGGAGATTTACAACTTCTTGCAGCGGTTACTTCTCCTGATCAGTACAGAGAGTCAGTACTGTGATACGAGCATACTGAGAGATTTAAGAAATAAAATCGATCTGAGTTATTTAACACCAGTTTTGAGTTTTGGTGTGTAGGAAATGAATCAATGATCAATAATGACGTAGGCCTATAAGTGGTAAATCTATTCGCACCAAAACGACAACAGTTCATCTTGTATTGACACTAGACAAGAATACATTATGAAGCTTTGATTATAGAAGATTTTCATGTAATGTATTTCCTCTCGACATAGTGTTTTTGGTAATTCCAATTAAATTATATGTTTAAGAATAGAGAGAAAAACAACACACCAACTCCACAACGAACAAGAAAAGCAACAAAATCTCTCGCAAATAGCAAAGCAAATGATATACATCCGTTAGTCAGAGAACCCAACTAATGGTCTTACTTTTCAATATTATCGCTCTCTACATCAATGCACTTTGCCCACCTGTGGTCCAACTTGTTTGCCCCTCCTTTTACGCGCGATTTCTTGACGTAGACGTCGAAAATTCGTCTGCATAATATGTAGCTTTCTCAAGATAGTCAATCATAATTATCCCCTTACTATCCCAAACAATGAAGCCATCATCTTCCCTGCTGGTACTCTCTTAGCTTTTTTCGGAGGTTTGAGCCAGGGTGCTTCTACTGCATGCTCTATTTTTTTGATTCTGGATCTAAGTGATCAGGTTCATCCTCATAGCGAGACAAAGATATCTTGAAATGTCATGCCTCGTTCGTTGTTGGTCGTCAGTCAACTGTCTGGGGACCCATCTAGCGGAAACCTTTGACATGTCATAGACATAGAATTGCTTATATCCACTTCTCTAGCAATGCTTCACATGTCTCGCCTTCTGTCGCACATGACCAGATCATGCACAGCTTCGGCAGTTTCATCGTTGGTGACCTCTTTTGGCAGCCCAGGCCCTCATCATACTTAATGACCGCTTTGATTTCAACTTTCTCTATTTGGTCTAAATGACACACCCCTCTACTGATCAAAGTGTTTTTTATGTTTTTTAATCTGAGTAAAACCGCGTGTAACTCGGTCAGTAATCTTCAATAAAATATCGGTCTCGACGTATCGTGTGTAAACGTCAGTGTAGTGGCTAGAAGTACATCGGGCCGAGAACTTTTTGATCATACCTCGTATTTTTACCTTAAACGTTAAGGTCACACTTGAGGGCCAAAAATAAAGTCAGATGTAAAATTATTGTAAGCAGGAATGAATTCTTCAATGCACATTTTGCTTAACAGTATGACAAGTTTAACAAATTGTGTTATATTTCAAATGGCTTTTTGAAAATATCTGGTTGAAAGTATACACGATTTCTTTTGAATAAGTAATAGCATATTTAAGAATGCTATCGATTTTAAATGCATTATTTCCTTAAATAACTAAGCAATGCACTTCAAAATAACTGCATCCCTTTATACGGTTTTGGCTTATAACTGCAACATTTGCTACATTTGTTACAAAACCACTAATTAACCCCTTTCATGACAAGAAGTTTATTGTCATTGTATGCTGACTAGAAATGTTGTCGTATTTTGTAGGCTTCTAAAATTCCAAGAAAAACTAGCTCACACTTAACTCTATTATTTTTTCAATTTAAAACGGGTAAATATTTCAAATTTCTCTAAAATAAAAGTGTTTCCCCCACTCGGCTGTTTAAGTTTTAAGTTATAAAACTTCCGAATTGATTTTGAATACATGTACTTTTTCAGTTAAGAAATTCTTATTTGAAACAGAGCATTCAAACTTCTTACAAGATCTATAGATGCTGGCAATGAACAGATAACACTGATTGTTGTTTGAGTTAAGGTCATTTATCTAAAACATAGATATCGATATCATTTTTTCTTTAGGAAAAAGATATCAATTCTGAGTGCATTGTTGTAGAATAATGCACGGTTCGAATTCAAATATGTAGGAATATTATCAGGAAAGGCAATAGGCTTGAGTAATTAATTACAAAGCTTAAAAAACGTGCATTATTTTACATAAGTATCCAATTTCAATTGTCATCCAATGAAAACGCTGTATTTCTTCAAAATTATGTGTGTTTATTTTCAGAGAAGAACAAAAGGCAGTACTATATCAAATTCCGTTCAAATTCCGTTCATAGTCGCCTTCATAGTGCTTCACAGAATCGCGTTTGTAAAAATAGTCATTAGCATAAATTTGCACATGCACTTTCGTGGACCGCTTTTGAATATAAATTTAGTAAAAATGACGTCAAAATGTCAACCTATATTAATTTTGCATTAATGGATAAAGTATATGCGTGTAGTTCAGATTTAAATCCAAGTCTTGGCGAAAAAAGATACGTGTAAAAATAAAAAACTATACAACATGTCAATTTTTTTATTACGAATGTAGGAAAAGGTCTTAATTAGTAACTAACTGGAATGTCACGTATACCTATGTATTCACTTTCTTTTTTTAGGTAGACAAAAAGTGAAAGAAGACATTATGTTTTTGGAAAATACATTACGTGACCTTGTGTTAACGCATAACGTTTAGTGTACACATGTATACATCGTATCAGATATAAGCTACTGAGTATCAATTGTCAAACTAATCAGAAATGTTTTCGAAAATTAATGTTTCAATAACACACATCAGCTATATGCCGTCTTGCGTATTTCCAAACTGAAACACAAGGGAACATGCGTCTTCGCGCGCAAAGTGACGTCGTATGAGTTTCATAATTACCATGAGATATGCAAGTACGCATGCGCGAAAATGTTATTTTCTTTTTCACACCTCCGGTATGAGGTTTGCAAGGCGTTCGCTGCGGTAAGTAAAATTTTATCATTTCCTGGTTCTGTTCCTTGTCATACACAGGATTTTTTTTATACGTTTCCAAGTCAAGATATTAAATTACGAGAATTATGAATTTCTAAAACAATTTAAGACATATCGGTGGCAGACAGATTAATCGAAAACGAAAGTAGGATGCATAGATTCACAGATAGTACATTTCGCCAAATTTGTTAGATTTAACCAAATAAACATATCTTAATGAGTAAAATCGAAATGTGAATTATTAGTATGCTTGGACTACATTTTCTGTTGTTAGTGTTTGATTACACATACCGTTTATCATTTCCTGCACTCTGAAACAGAGGCTATGTTTGATTTAAAATTCAGGTGTCATGACAATCATGTTGAGAAACTTAAGTCACAGGTGTCTGCGCATTGATTGGTCGCTACCCCGCCCACTACCCTTTACCCACTCAACAACCCTCTTACCTCTCCAAAACTGCAACATTTTTCATTTGCAATATGTTTTAATATTGGTAAAGGGTCAACTCGGCTCTATAACAACTCGGTACCGGTCAACACTCGACCCCTCTATTAACAATGTTTATGGATACAGATTGTTAAGCTAATAAACTTTTTAAGCAGAGCAAAATAACTGTGAAAGTAATTTAGAGGTACGATCACTAACAAATAGAAATTTAAAAAATCATGCATATTTATACAATCAAATTTAAACCCAACATTCCTTGAAGATTGGTTTCATATAAATTGTTAACCAATTATATATTGCTACTTCGGTTCCAAATATTGATTAAATGGTTTCATTATATTATAAAACGAATTAATAAATTGATTATTCGGTTTCATATAAAGACATCTGGTTCAATAAATGGTTACATTGGTACCAAATATCAAAGAATGGGTAACATATAATGTGAAATCAACTTATATATTGTTACTTTGGTTTCATACATTGACGACATCATTTTATATATTGAAAAATGAAATTATATATTGATAATTCGGATTCAAATAAGGATATCTGGTTCCATGTATGGCTACTCTGATACCATATATTGAAGAACTGGTGTCATATATTGAGAAAACCAACTTATATATAGCTACCTCGGTTTCATACACTGACGGCATGGTTTCATATATTGTACTTTGAAATTATATAATGTTTCCGGTTTAGTAAGATATTGTTTGAAATTCATATACTGTCGAAGTGAACTTATATATTATCCAAATGGTTAAATCAATTAAGAAATAACAATATAAGACAGACATGGCTTTCCATATTAAAGAGTTTTGAATGCGCATTTAACATAGTTCATTTATCGGTTATTAGAAAATGATAATTTGAAATCGGCAACATTTATGCCTACGGTTTTGTTTCTTATATATCTACTAAGCTTTTTATGTACTTTTTAAAAATAAATATGTTTCCGGTGCCTCTACTTGAAATCTGGTTTATAACAATATAATTCTAATGAATTTAATGTGTTTGTTAATTTTGTTCACATATATAACCAAAAGGTTCCGAACACGTTTTATCGTCGAAACGATGGTCCCCTATTTCATCCCAACTGTGACGCACCATACGGAAGCAATTTGGAGCACCTGTCATTTCATTTGGGGCAATATATTTCCAAAAATGTTTGTCCATGGGCACCAGAGTACCATCAGAAAATTTCCAATCATCTATTCCGGTTTGTGCATTAAAACCATCTACCCAGTACTGGTAAGAATTTAGAGCTGAAAGAGAACGAGAAAGTGTTCCACACATTTTATAAATTTGCTGCTGCTGGTAAAGGTTACGATATAAGAAGAAATATCAGTCCAGATGGTGCACAACCGCCAATTAATCCCGACGCTGTATTATCCAAATGAAACTAACTTCGGCTGTTACTGGACAAAAAACAAATGAACTTTAAAATCCGTACTGTGCAAGTAAGGCAACATATTACTTGTAACTTAGAGTTTGATTATCAAATCAGGAAAGTTTTCATGACATGTGTTAATATTATTTAAGAGATCCCGAATATCTTTGAATGGGTTAGTTCAGTGGACCATTATTGCCATACACGTGTCCTTGTATACATGCCCAACAATGTAAGTGGACATAAATTGGCCTTATTTATATTGTGTTTACATAAGTCAACATATCTTGCAGTCGTGTAATACTGGAAAAACCACTTTACCTGGACAGTCACGTACAAGCGCTTGAATAGCATCGAATTTCCATTCCTCGTCGACTTTAACTAATTTCCCGCCAATAGTTGCGCAGAATGTTGTGGCGTCAGGTTGCGACATCGTGGTGGTGAATATTTGTATTTTTGACTGTGAACAATACAGCTGAGTCATCCGAGCAACCACTGACGAACACACTGGTATCATCATAAAAGAACAATTGATGCATCCATGGAATCTAATCACATATGATGTAGTGTTTATAATAAACATATATTTGAAATTTGAAGTAAATCCAGGAATAAACATAAGTTTCATAACAAATAACAAAATAAATAAATAAATAAATGAATAAATAAATAAATATTCTTTAAAGGTTGAAGGGGAAGATAATTCTAGGTTAACTTTAATATTGACGCCAGATTTATAAACCTTATTTTATTATTATGTCTAGAGAGTTTGAAGTAAATCATTTAAGAAATGAAGAAGTTTGAGTAAAAAATAATAATTTGTAGAAAAATCTAAGCTCAAGGCTGACATAATTCTGGAGATAGTCAAGCTATCTGATCTTCTCGCACGTGATTTGAGTGATAACAAGGCACATAATATATTTGAAATTTAAAGGAGATATATAAAGAAATAAAAAAGTTATAAAAAAAAGATTGTCATGAAATTCTAAGTTCAAGGGGGAGGGGGTATTTCTGATAATGTTTGTGCAAAAGTTGTGTATGAAAAATACATTTGAAAAATACATTCTAAGTTATAATCTCAATGCTGCCATTCACCCATATTTCAGTTTCATTAAAATATTGTCAGCACTCTTTTGAGTTATCAAATGTTTGCCATATTTTAAATCTATTAATTGCCATAGTAATTAACTTTTCAACATAGGAAGAAAAAAGACATGCCTAATCTCTAGACTGCCATTAACCTATATTTCAAGTTTCATAAAAACATTTCAGTACTTTTTACATGTACGGGATCCAGTTTTTGTGGACGGACATAAGGAGAGTAAATCTAAAGACCTAGTTAAACCGCTAGGAGAATAAAAGCATGACGAAATTTCATTGACATTCAACCTAATGACCATAGTGTGTCATTCAAAACCGATGATTCAAAAATCTTGTGGGAGAAGTATTCGGTCACTTCTGCAGAAATAATGGTTGATCGTCGATATATAACCAAAGAGGTTTTATATTGGCGTAAAAAGAATTGTATTAAAATAAACAAATAGTAGTTTAAAAATATTGTAACTTTACAAGGTAAAAAGAATACATTATTGTGACCTTCTGTATAGTAACAGAAAAGCAACAACAACAACATTTTCTGGTCGGGTTTTAACGTCGCACCAACACAGTGTTCGTCCTAGGGCAACTTCAGCTTTAGTGGCAGAAAAATACCTCAGATTCCCTTCCTTGCATTATTTCAGGCATGAACGTGTACCTGAGTAGAAGTAAGCTAGCTGGATATCTTCCTCACATGAAAGAATCCAAAAAATATGATAAACAAGATCAAAAAGGGAAGGCGGCGTTCAATGAACTTAACCCATTAAAGTCCATGTCGTGGGATTTTGAACTTCAGTTCAGCATGTTTGTATAACTTACGAACAAATGTTTGGTTGCGCAAATAATTTCATATGCTGTCATTTGTACAATATCTAGTGTGTAATTTTTTAAATATGCTAACAACTCACTGTTTACTGTCGAACTAATTTCCCAATCTCCATTAGATGAGCATTCTAGGGTCTGAACATCTACCACGCCATTTCCACTTTGATTACAAGACACAAGCTTGGAACCTATCTCGTTCAGATTTCCTTGACGTACCACGTTTTCCAAAGTATCTTGCCCTTGACATTCTGTTCAAGTAGAAAACCATTAATTAATGTATAATTTGAGTGTTGATACGCCAATGAGCATTAGTAAACAGTAAAATTCAATCGCTCAATACGGACATTAAACCGAATCGTTCTGAAAACAGTCAAATGTGGAGGCATGGGCGAGTGGTAAACGTGTCTCACTAGTAATTTGTACTGTCAGGGTTATACATGTATCGTTGTTTCATTGAGCAAGAAATTTTATTTACACTCAATGCTTTGTACTGCTGGATTGCAGGAACGGATTTAAAAGTACGTCTATAAGCTAATAACTTCATACACAATATAACTAAGATAAAAAAAAATTCAGATAGAAAAAAATGATCAAACTCTGATAAAATGTGTTCCTTTGAAATAGAATTTACTTGTTTAAACATATTACTTTTTTACATTATTCTATACTATTTCATTGCACTATATAACACTAAAAGCAATTCCGTACAAAGCCAACTAACTGAAATATTCCCAAAATTCCTGTGCATGGAATAAGCCTGGTGAAAATAATAATGAGTCTGGAAATTGACTCGTTTTGAAATGTTTTCCTATTTCGATTCTAAGGAACTGATATACTCAAGTTGCTAGTCTTACCATGTTTCGCACACGTAACACCCGTTCCAGTTGATTGATTCACTTCCCACTCGTCGCATTCATTGCTTTGATCCGCATTGTTTGTTTCCTTAATGTAAAAGTAGTAAGTTATTTAATATTATTTGAAATTTTTATCCCTGTGTTACTTGAAATATTTCGCAGCTGTTTTTTTAACTTAATTTAAATTCATGTATTAAAAAACTTGAAATTCGAACAAAACTACCGTAATTTGTGTACGATGTTATACTGAAATTTAGACAGTACAAATGCGCGTACAAGATGATCATAAAATTAAGACGATACAAATGCTCGTTAAGGGTTGTCAAGGATTTTAGACAGTACAAATGCTCGTACGGGATGGTCTTGAATTTTACACAGTACAAAAGCGTGTACACGGTGGTCATGAATTTTAGACAGTACAAAGGCTCCTAAAGTGTGGACATAAAATTTAGACAGTACAAAGGCGTGTGCAAGGTGATCATTAAATTTAGATAGTTTATCTGCGCATATAAGGTGATACAAAATTGACATTTAAAATGTGGTTTCTAAGTAATCATAAAAATTTAGACAGTACAAAGGCTAGAAAAAACGTTATAATGAAATCCATACAGTACAAAGGCTAGAAAAAAAGCTATAATGAAATCCATACAGTACAAAGGCTAGAAAAAACGTTATCATGAAATCCATAAAGTACAAAGGCTAGAAAAACGTTATCATGAAATCCATACAGTACAAAGGCTAGAAAAAACGTTATCATGAAATCCATACAGTACAAAGGCTAGAAAAAACGCTATCATGAAATCCATACAGTACAAAGGCTAGAAAAAACGTTATCATGAAATCCATACAGTACAAAGGCTTAAAAAACGTTATCATGAAATCCATACAGTACAAAGGCTAGAAAAAACGTTATCATGAAATCCATACAGTACAAAGGCTAGGAAAACGTTATAATGATATCCATACAGTACAAAGGCACATACAAGCTGAGCTTGAACCTAAACCATTACAAAGGCGCGAATATAGATAAATTTAGATACTAGAAATGATGATGATAATGAAATATAACCAATACTAGGTGATCATGAAATTGAGGCAGTACAAATTCGCGTTCCGTGTTATCTTAATATTAAGACACTTAACATGTGCTGACCAGGTGTTCCTGAAATTTGAACAATACCATACAAAGGCGTCTAAATTTTCTTGGTTATCTCTAGATTTAGACAGTACATCTTTTCGTACCAATGTGATTTTAAAATTTGGCAGAACAAAATTGATTACGAGCCTATATCCTAAGAACTCTTCAAATTTAGGCAATAAAAAGGGGGAAAATAAATAAAAAAGCAGAAAATTTAATGCATATTTTGAAGAATTTGCAATAGCAATACACTTACATCCGGGGTCTGAATATCGTCTTTGTTCACAATCACACAATGCCCACGGTCAGTTGACGCAGACGTAAACTCGGTGAAAAGCTCGCATAAAGTATACAAACGCTTGTATCCGACCGCAAAGCAGTGCTTTCTCCTTAAACAGTGGTCAACACAGGCTTCGAGAGATTTTTTCACGAATGACAAAAATTTCCTTTCTTTCGGAGGACACATATTCCATTTTGATATTCGAAATTTAGCGCTGCAGAAAATTGTTGTAATGAAAACTGATAAGACAAATGCCAAAATAACTTTATGTTTAAACTCCATCACGATATTGAACGATTTGAAACTGTAAATTCTATCCAATCATTTCCACTTGAAAAGTCAACGTTGCGCTCTGTGATAAAACCACCCACCTCCTTTTCCCATGAATATTTTATCCTTTTTGTATACAGTGCAACCTCTGCTGGCGGTCTTCTAATGAGCAGTGAATTCTAAAAAATAACAGTGACATTTTTTCGAAAATTTAAATATTGCACAATGCTGGGTGATTAAGTAGAAGGTATTGCAGTAGGAAGCCAGGCTAGCTTTAAATACGTGTAGTCTGACAAAATAATGATAAAGTGGATTGGCCCATAATATACAGTACAACATTAAACAATAACATATTTAACATACATATATCCAAACAATATGGTGGGTGGGTAGAGAGAGACAGAGAGACAGGCACCATTTGCTGTTCAAACATCAAATAATATTACAATTAAACATTTATCAATACATGTATGCAAACCATATAGAAAATAAACTAACAGAGGACAGACACTGCTGACAAGAGAAAAAATAGGTTTGAAAAGACATATGAGTTTTCATTTCAAACGCCTTTGATATAAAATGCTTGTTTTAAGGGTGTTTTCGTTTTCCGTTTAATTTCACTATGTTAGGATAGTTTGCATTTTATTCTTATGGTTTTATATACACTACACTCTAATAAGAAAAAAATCGTCTTTAAGAGTTTAATATATATAGCATTTTCTTTAATTTTTGGTTTGAACAATCGACCGGTTTCTAATACATGTACTTATCTGAGTTCTGACATTGTTAATGCAATTCAAATTTAACCATATGGATCTTTTAAAGAATTCTTTAATTTCAAACACTGAAAATAACTTGTAATCTCTTTAAAGCTGCACGCCTCCAAGTGAGCCAAAATATTTCAAGAAAATGAAAATTGAGAAAAATGTACTAATATTTCAAGGAAGGTAAAAACAATCAAGATCAATGTTGAAGTTTACATGTTATTTGCGATTTAAGACTGATTTTGCAGTATTTTATCACCATATTTCTACTGCGTTACTAACGCAGTAAGGGCTTTATTTTGCACATTTTGACCTCTTTTTGGTTATTTGCATGTATTGTAAGTGCCAATTGCAATATGTAAATAACTTTATTTGTTCACCTCACAATATTTTACTGTCAAATACATTATCAAAATTTTCATGAAATTTTAACATGAATCTGGAGGCGTGCTGCTTTAATGTAATTTCTTCTCTCTGTTCTTTTCTCCATTTTCCTACCATTTTTTCGTTTTTTTTCTTTCTAAAATAGAGAAAATAAGAATCCTTAAAGACAGAACAACACGGCAAAATTGAAAATGTTGCAGGTTAGGTTTGATTGAGCCTGTTCATGGACGGTACTGTCAAGTGCAAACTATCGTCCACGCCCCCTACCTTCTAGTATAATGTTTAATCTTTATTATGATTTAAGATATATAATCTATTAAAGTTTGTATATAATTTTAATTCCCTCGTCTAGTATATTTCAAATACTAATTTATTTAAGACAAATCATATAGTTCGCCGAAGGAGAACAGTTACGCTTGCTTTATGTGCATCATACATTGCAACACTTTCAAATCGATTTCAAGTAAAACTTGAATATTTACATTAAATTTTGTTAATGATCCCTTAAGGGAAAAGTTGCATGTGCTTTCAGTTTGCATGCATACACTTATTTTAAGGCCAAACCATTATCAATAGGCTGCATTTTTACAATCTGCTAAATTTTCCTGAGAAATCTGCTTGCTATAAAATTATTTAAAAGTTAACCCACTTTACAAGACTCATTTTTCTTAATAACCTCTTTCGGGTCCCAGTGACACCTTCTAACATAAATCTGCTTTGTCATTTTAAGCGACCTTGAGTGTTTTTAAAGGTTGTACGTGTTATTCCTAGATAAATCGTTCAGCATAATTGTCAAATAAAAAATATAAGGTGGAAAATGAAATTTGCCGACGGTAAAATACATAAACAATAAGGAAACTCCTCGAACAGCTCACCATAGAAAATAAGTATGAAACAACACATAATTGCTCTTACAACTGAAAATAAAAGCTTAAGGCCACTTTTCAGCAGAAGCATATGCAATAGAAATATACTTGGAAATAAAATGAAAATCGTAATTTTGTGCTATTGAGTCCGATTTGAGTGTATTTCACAATGAGAATAATTACCCTGGAATAATGCAAACAAGATAAAAAACTGATCTATATAAAAAAGAGCTTTAATCTCGAAAAAAAAAATCCCAGTCCTTACATATTAAAAAACATCAGTTGGCCCCTTCAAAACATGATAACATTGAAATAGTACACAAATATTCAAATTTATTTGAATTCAATGTTTTGGGGTAACGGCAAAATGATTTTTTATGATTATTTTAAAATGCTACTTTAAACTTAGAATTGATTACAGTGATTACCTCCATTGGCAGATTTCTGTACTGATAAGGGGAGATCACTGCATAGAGGGCACACTACAAATGACTTGCAGTGGTTACCTATCCTGATCAGGACAAAAATAATCAACCGTTTCAAAACTGCAATACTAACACACGGCATAAATGTGAGATTTAAGAAATTAATACCGAACTGAGCGGTGTTTATCGGCTATTTAGCACGGACAAACAAGCCAAAGTAGAAATCAGGTATGCATAAAGACATGCTTGAATTTTGAGTGTATTCAATTTGAACGTCTGACATGGGAAACATTGTAAAGTTAATCCGACGCGATATGCACTTGAAGACATAAAGCTTATATTTGTAACTGTTTACATTAAATTTTAACCCGTTGCAAATTGACCCCATGGATCAATTTTCAAAATTGAGAATTGACCCTGCCTGCAAATCAAATTTTGATCAAAAGTCATTGAGAACTGATCAATCAAAACAAAATTGTTTTTAATGGTCGGTTACATTTTATATAAATAACGGTTTGCAGTAGAGAAACGCTTGGAAGAAACAGACTCTCTTACAAGCGCACTGATCAGAGGAAGTAACCGATGCTTGCATCTTGCCAAACTCCTTACAGTGATTATCTCCCTTGGCAGATTTCTGTACTGAAAAGGGGATATCACTGCATAAGAGGGCGCACTACAAATGACTTGCAGTGGTTACCTATCCTGATCAGGACAAAACATAATCAAACGTGTCAATACTGTAATACTAACACACGGCCTAAATGCGAGATTTAGGAAATAATTCCGAAGTGAGCGGTGTTTATCGGCTATTTATTACATGCTTTTCGGTGGTTTATAGAAATATATCAGTGATATAAAACTGGTAATTTCACTGTTTGAAACAGTGAAATTACCACTTTGATAATTTCATTGTTTTGAATTTAAGCCCCTTACGTTGTTTCAGTGAAATACCAGCGTGCACAGTACTGGGTACCAACTTAATGACGTGACGTCGTAAATGACGTCACGTTGTATTATTATTTGGCGCGCTTTTCATTCAGTATTAGATTTAATGTCTTTTTAAAACGTTTCTTTGCATGTAATAAAAAGAAAATTTGTTTAGTTTAGTGTAAGATCGAAATATATTTCACCTTGTGAACACCAAAAGTTCAAATTTCACTCGTGGCTGCGCCACTCGTGAAATATACCTTTTGGTGCTCACTCGGTGAAATATATTCCGATCTTACACTGAACTAAACAAATATCCTCTATTTAACACCTGTTTTAAGCTTTGATAAGTAGGAATTTACTATGAATTCCGTAGGCCTGAGTGTAAATTTATTGGCATCAAAACGACAACAGTTCATCTTGCATTGACACTAGACAGGAGAGTTCTTCTATAAAACATTTGAAGGTCTGGTTATAAAAGATATTCATGTAATGTATTACCTCTCGTCATAGTGCTTTGGTCATTCAAATTAAAATGTATGTATAAAGAATAGAGAGAAAAACAACACACCACCTCCACAACGAACAAGAAAAGCAACAAAATCTCTCGCATATAGCAAAGCAAATGCAAATTTTGATGTAAGCGGTTTAATAAACTTTCTTAACTTATTAAAATTTTATTGGTCCTTTTGCTTTTCCTTTACATATGAAATACAATTTTTGTTAGAAATATTTTTCAGTCCGATGAAATTCCTCCTGCATTTCTCCAAACGTTCACAGGATTATTGTCGCTAAGTGTCCTACTTCATATTATTGATGTTTTGTTATTCGTTCATTTTTACAAAGTTATGACCCATTGTTTTATTTTTATTTATTTCTTTTGAGTGCAGCAGCTACATTCCTTAACAGATTTGAACCCAACTTTCACAGAAGTACTTTGATAATGTATAATGTAATGCCAATGTTCATGCATACATCCGTCTGTCTGTGAGCAATGTCATGTCATACCGAGTGATAAAAACAATGCTCTGTCATAAAATGATATTTTCATGATAGATAACTAGTCCTTTAAACTGAAATTGAAATTGAATTAAACTGTTGGGGTATTCTGTTTCAGCAAGAAGACATATCCTACACGTAGCAATTTTTTTTTCTTTTCTTTTTTCTATTTCTTTCTTTCCTCCATTATTTCACCCTTTGTAGAAAAATACTTATCTGTCTGAAATTCTTCTTTCATTTCATATGGGATTTCAGTTTAGTAAGTTATTTATTTGCCGAAATCGATTTTTTTTCTCACAATTCCCATCGCTCGTTTTAATAAAGTTGATGTTTTAAAAATATATCTTTTTAATTTATTTAATTGAAATAATTGATTTTTTATCAAACTTGCCTGACAATAAACGATTGATAAATACATGAATATGTTTTAAATGTTCATTTACAGCAAGATGTGTTAAGCCATAATCCGCTTAGAATGTTAGCAAATAATTAAATATTCATGAACAATTGGCAGTGGGGGTGATTATTTTTCATCGTTTCATTCTTCAAATGACTTTTAGTTATTGAATTTACATTTCTAGACCGTTCAGTGCAGTTATGCAGTTTAAAAGTAAATTAAATATGGCATTTGTTATATCTGTTTCGATAACAACCATTTTCTGCAGTGCTAAATTTCGAATTACAAAATGGAATATGTGTCCCCCAGAAGAAAGTAAATTCCTGACGCTAGTGAAAATTTCTCTTGACGTGTGTGTTGACGAATGTTTTAGAAGAAAGCACTGCTTTGCTGTCGGGTACAAGCGTTTGTATACTTTATGCGAGCTTTACACGGATTTTACGTCAGCATCAACTAACCGTGGTCATTGTGTGATTGTGAAAAAAGACGACATTCAGAACCCGGACGTAAGTCTACACTATTTCATGTATATTTTAATATGCTCTTTACAATTGTTTGAGCATCATTTTTTTGGCTGGCGATTTAACGTGAGCCCATAGTTGCTGATCACGGGGTTAGGTGTGGGATCGGTGTCCCGTCCCAAAGACTGAGAAAAATTTTGAAATCTGAGGTTGAAAATAGTGTTATTTCCTTGAATTTCTTTATTTATGGAAGCTTTTTGACAATTTTATAACTCTATTCTTCATTTTGTTAATTTGTATTTTACGTCATTAAGTTGCATTATTATTACTTATAATGATTAATTAATTTATTTATTCAGCCATGTAGGAAAGATTATTTAAAAAAATTAAAACATTGGACAAATAATTTCATTTACAAACAAGCTATACAAATGTCTGTTTTTTTAAATATCTCGAGCACAAACAAATGATGTTGAAATTAAGCAAATAAGTTACTTGAATTTTGTCATGTAAACAGTATGAAGATACTTGGAAAATGAAAGAAACAGTCAAGTTTAATTGTAGTAAAACCAGTTATTCAAACGAAATCCCTTACAATTAATTTTAATAAGGGCTTTGGAAAACAAAGTCAGTATATACATTATATTGTACTGCGTAAAGCACCATTTTGCTACTACGTACTTTATACTGTTATCTTATAAATTAATTAAGCTATATGAATATTATAAAAGTTGGGTATTAGAAGTAAATACAGATTAAACTAAAATTGTTGTATTTAGGAAAAGAGGAGGTTTATTAGGAAATAAGTTTGGGAAAAATGATGGTAATGATATTGAGGTAGTGAATGATTTTAATTATCTAGAAACAGTTTTTAATTACACCGGAAAGTTTACTTTAAATCAGGAATACATTGTAGGTAAAGCTTTACAGGCGCTTAATGTTTTGCTTTTAAATTGTAAAAGTATATTTTTAAACCAAAGTTATTATGTCAGCTATTCTATTCTTTTGTTGGCTCAATTTTGAGTTATTCGTCAGAAATTTGGGGATTTACAAAATGAAAGAATGCATTTAAAATATTAACAAAATATATTGTCAGTATATAAATAACACATGGGTTTGTGGGTAACAGTAAAAATATCATCCCGAGTAAAATACTGTTACCCGAGGCGTAGCCGAGGGTAACAGTATTTATACGAGGGATGATATTTTTACTGTTACCCACAAACCCATGTGTTATTTATTTTATTACCCCGAACAAATACTGTGATGATCTGAATTTGGCAACTAAATCTAACTGTAACAAAATAAGCCAAGAGAAGCAATAACTAAACTGTCCTTACCTTGCAAGTTTTAAGTGCACTGTAGGCCTACTTGAGAAGCTGTTTTTCTTTTATTCTTTAAGCAAGTGATGATATCTACCAGTCATAAACATAAAATAAGATGTGTTTTATTCAGAAAGCAAAACACTAACTCATTTATAAGGTTATGATCTGTGAAATCTGATCCTTCTGCATCCATAATATTCTTCGCATGGTTTTTGACAAAGTGCATTTAGAAAATAACAATGATATCCTACAGATGTATGTCCACAAACTCTATCTGTAACGTTTCACTGGTTAAAATTGTTAAATTATCCTTTGTTGCATGCTTTAATTGTCTGCATGTTCCAGTTTGACACAAAATTATTTATATAACAATTACTTCCGTTGGAAACGGATGTTTCCTGTTGACTATTGAACAAAAAGATATTTAATACGCGAAAGGGACTCTAGGTTGCAAAGAACTAAATTTTATCAGAGTAATAGTTACTTCGGCGATGCCCTATCGTCAAAAATAAGAATGAATCGAGAGAAAAATGGCGGCCATTTTATTTCATTTTATTTAGAAAATAGACCACGTGACCAGATTTTATACTGTTAAAAATACTGTTACCTATGTAACAGTACAAAATTCGTAGTCACGTGGTACACTTGCATTAACAGTAAGAATAACTCCCAGAGGCCTATGGGAAATTAGCATTACGAAAAAAGTGAGGGGTAATAATAAGAAATACTACCTGTACTGTTGGTGTATATGGAGAGTTAGGAAGATATCCTTTGTTCATATCCGTTATGTACGCATTGTTAATTGCTGTGCAAACAATATTATTTTACGCCCAGTTTACCAGCTATCATTTAATGATGTAATAAATGATTATGTAACTTGGTAGCTTATGTTCATAAGCTTTTGTGTGACTAAGGTTTTTCAGATGTTTGGAATAACTGACATTATATAAATAACACATGGGTTCGAGGCGTAGCCGAGGGTAACAGTATTTTTACGAGGGATGATATTTTTACTGTTACCCACAAACCCATGTGTTATTTATTTTATTACCCCGAACAAAAATACTGAGATGATCTGAAATTGTCAACTAAATCTAAGTTCTAAATGTAACAAAAATAAACCAAGAGTAACAATAACTAAACTGACCTTACCTTTTAAGTTTTAAGTGTACTTTACTGTAGGCCTATATGAGAAGTTTTCTTTTTCTTTTATTCTTTTCAGCAAGTGATGATATCTACAAATCATAAACATACAATAAGCTAGGTTTTATTTAGGAAACAAAACACTAACCCATTTACACGGTTATGATCTGTGAAATCTGATTCTTCTGTTTCCAGAATATTCTTAGCATGGTTTTTGACAAAATAACGATGATATCCTATGTCCACCATATCTGTAACGTTTCACTGATTAAATTTGTTAAATAATCCTTTGTTGCATGCTTAAATCGTCTACATGTTCCAGTTTGACACATAATTATTTACATTGCAATTACTTCCGTTGAAAACGGATGTTCACTTTTTGACTATTCAGCAAAAAGATATTTTATACGCGAAAAGCACACCAGGGTGCAAAACAACTAAATTTTATGAGTGTCATAGGGACTCAAGAGGAGAAATTGATGTCCTATCGGGGTTTAACGTTGAAAATAAGAATGAATCGAGAAAAAAATGGCGGCCATATTATTTCATTTTTTTAGCAAATAGACCACGTGACCTCTTAAAAAATACTGTTACCTATGTAACAGTACAAAATTCTGAGTCACGTGGTACACTTGCATTAACAGTAAAAATAACTCCCAGAGGCCTATGGGAAATTAGCATTACGAAAAAAGTGAGGGGTAATAAAATATTATATTCAAAAACTTTATCCCGATATAAGACAACGGATAAGTGATTGGTTTTATACAGGGATGACATGTATCTCAAGAAACAAGTTCTGTATTGGAATTATATAATGAGTGTAAAATAAATTCTTGTTACGAAAATTATTCAGATATATTGCCTGATCATTTGAGACGACTTATTACTAGATTAAGAACTGCTGCACACAGCTTAAGAATACAAACTGGTAGATACACTGTATGCTAGAAATAGAATACTAAGAAATGAACGCTACTGTCAATGTTGTTCTTTAAGAGACTTAGACGATGAATTTCATTTCGTTCTTATATGCCCATGTTATACAAATATTCGTACCCGTTATATTAAAAGATAGTATTTTGTTAACCCAAGTAAATATTAAACTATCTGAAAAGTATTACAGTAATCAAGTTGAAACAGGTTTAATAATCTGTAAAAAAAAGTACAGTAGAAAATGTATTTCTAGTTGAGGTCTCTTGTTAACTTTCGTTTCGAACAAGATTGTCTCACATATAGAACGAAATTCTAATTCTTTCTTAATATATATCATATATTTTTGGATGAATATTTACCAATAATATCAAGAGCAAGACTGATAATTATTATATGTACTCCACAGAATAATAACAAGCATTCTGACAAATTCTTTAAAGCTGACATTGTGATACATTTCTATCCTTTATTCAATCAATCAATAATTATTTATGTGTCTATTATTATAGCTTACATATTTATCTATTTACCTTAAATATGAGTAAGCTTCTAGAAATATTGATTTCTGAATTGCTTTTTTCTGTAAATTGATATTGCTTTATGTTTACAGTTATATATTTGACTACATGTTATTATTGTGTCTAACTGTTAAACTGTTTTGTTAATTTTTGTAGTTATATATTTGTATATATGTTCAGCTCTTCAGGTACATTGAAGGAAATAAAGTACCTATCTAACTTAACTGAGGCTTAATAACAAATATCTGAAATTTCATTACAATTATTAATCTCTTTATATTATTTATATTATTGATTTCTTTATATTGATTGCACTGAAAGTACATGTTTCTTGAGTATAATTATGTATATGATGACGTACTATGTCCATTAGGATATAAAAGATCTGTTATGCTATTCAAGTATGCCACTTTAACCTTTCATACAAGCATGTTAACTGATAAAGATCTCTAACAAATCCCCAGGCAGGAGATAAACAATAGGATGATATCAATTAGATATTATGATGAAGGAGTACACTACTGTCGATAAAGCATAGAACTGTCATAAAAATATTCCTGCCCAGCAAGTAATCGTTTCTTTGGGCTGAGCTGGGGGGGGGGGGGGAGTCGCCACTGTCTACTCTGTCGTTACCAAGGCAACCTGCCAAAAACATAAGCTCATTCGTGTCATTTTCAAATAGTTTCAATATGCCTACTTTTACGAAACAACAACGCGACAACTGTTCACGCTTTGTTACTGTACTGAGTTTAGAGTTTATTTCATTTATTCCATAAGGCTATTTGCCCATGATGATACTACAAGCATACATGTATACTGATAAGGGAGGAAGTTTGTTTATCTATTGTCCTTTTAATAGACTGGCTATATGATTGTTTCAGTATTAAAGTGACATCATTTGTAACATTCCCCGTTTTCTAGACATGTAGTTTCTACATAAATTTTTCAACTTAATTGATAATATTTTGTATATTAAGATTAAAAATATATGTTATAATTATGTTGCGGTAAGGATCGGAATATCCGTCCCAAGGAATTAATGTCATTTCATTTGAATTTTCATAGCGTTTGGATTCATAACGGCAAAACAACGTCATCCTAAGCATCCATTTTCAGAAATAAATACGCCGACATTAAGTCATTTTAAAGAGGTTCATTCATGAATTGCGTTATGATGATACCATTGTAAAGCAACCGACTCATCTGGCACCTCCACTCCCCCCCCATGCCAGAAAAAAACTAACCGAAACACCAGTGCGGTATGCAAGAAATTAATGTATTAACTTATTTATATCACTTTATATACAGGATTTTATGTCAGTCTTGTTATTAATGAAAAAAAAATTCTACAAAACAACAATTTTTCTTCAAATTTATATGTAAGACCATGTTTAAACATGAAAAAACGCGATTTTGGATAATTTCAGGAATTTTCATCATTTTTTGTTAACACTTTACCTCATATATACGCGAAACAATAGTGAAAAAGGTCCTGTTTGGGCCCCAAACAGATGTTTTCGTTTGAGAAATGTTGTGATAAAAGAAAAATTTTGGACTTGTGAGTGGCTAAAAATTACCCGTGATCGATCATAAGGTAACGTGTAAGCAATGCTGAAAAGTATTTGACTCTATCTCAATCCATTGAGAAGTTGCAGCAAATTGAAATCAATTTTGATGGAAAAATCTACGCAAAATAGTGATTTTTGGCAATTTGAGATGTCCCCTCGTTGCCATGGTAACAGGAAATTTAAGCCTGAGCATGTTGTTACAAAGGCAATGGTCCAGTCAACATTTGTGCAAGGTTTGATTAGTATTGAAGCAGTTTGTATAGTTAATAGCGATATGAACTTGTAACGGGAGACTTTTCAATGAAAACAGCCATTTTTCACAAAATGCTCATGAGGTAAAGGGTTAAATAAAAAGCAACACCTGATGAAAATGAACGAATGATGGTCAAGACACAAATGATTTAATTTTTGCTAAATTCACAATATTCCTCATATTGCCTTTCATCTTAAAGTAGTGTAACTGTATGATTGTCTGTGATTTTATCGGACTGATGTTACTTAATGTTCTTCAAATACAGATAGGCAGTCATTCTGTACTCTGTTCTGAAATTTCTTTGAACTGTGTAACAACTAGCAGGCTCGTACGCGACATTCACCAGCCACGTACTTTTGTATTACCTAAATTACAAGACCACTCAATACGCAATTTAATTTTATCTAGATTTCAAGACATATTAGGACGCAATTTTGAATTGCAATGAAATTTCAGGTCTCTGTAGCGACTCATTTTAAAAATCAGCTTGTACGCATATAATATTATGTACAGTCTCAATTTCTAGACACCTTAGTATGTGACTTTGTACTAACTAAATTTCAAGACAATAACGCAAATATCTCCAAGTACGCAACTTTTATTGCCTTTACTTTCAAACTCACTTGGTTCGTGTGTACCAACATAAATTTCATAACCTCTGACATTTTTATTTCCTATGCATTTCAATCCAATTAGCACGTTTTCGCTCCGCGCCCCGCCTTTTTATTTCTTAAATCTCGCGCAGCGCCCCCGCGCGTCGAAGTTTTATTTATTAAACTTCGCCCCGCGCCCTTGCTAATTAGCGTGTTTTCGCTGCGCGCCCCCGCCATTTAAACTTGTTAATTTTCGACTTTTCGCTTGGCGGGGTCGCGGGGCGAAAACACGAATGGCACAAATCAGCTACCATAACCCGCAGTTTATTACATTATCAAATCATTTATGAGTATGTAATAGGTCAAATAATTATCAATGATTTTCTTTGATATAATATTTATATAAAGGAATTACACAACAGTGTGTGTGACGAGTGGGAAGTGCTTCAATCAAACGGAACTGGTGACACGTGTGTTCATCAAGGTAAGACTGACGCTTTAAACATTAAAGAAGGCCTTGTCATCTTCCAGTGACGTTGATTTGATTTTTAAATTGCATAGGATTTCAAAACAATCGTGAACAGTTTTAATCAGTAGAACCATTGGCTTATGAATTTTTAAAGAATTTAGGTAGAATGTTTTTAATGTAGGTGACACGTGATACAACCTGGGATCAAAAATATACATTATTGTCCCAGATACAATGAAATATATTTAAAATGTGTTTTGGTAGGAAAATGCGATTTTTACGAAGAAATTTCATTTCTTAACGAGGCATTTCTTATTTGATTGGACTGCTATCGGAACATGTTTTCTTTTATATACATGATATATTGCCTATGCAAATAAATTTTACAGGTTACAGCTGCGCACCGACGTTTCAACACTCATAGTTTTTTTTTAAATTCAGACTCTAATTTTTAGTTTGATTCTAGTACATCCTACGCTTGCTTTTGTTAATGGGTAGACATTCTTTATCAGAGTGTAAAGAGGAAGAGATTTTGGAAAATGAGAGCCGTCAAGGAAATCTGAATGAAATAGGCTTCAAGAGGATTTTGTCTCGTACTCAATGTGGCTGGAAAAAGGTCGAGGCGCAAAAATGTTCATCCGGTGGCATATGGGAAGTTACTGAAACCAAATGGGAAATTGGTTCTACAGTAGAGAGTGAGTGAACCTAAAGGAGTATCGAAAACAAACTTTCTAGTAAAATTTCCCAGATTTTGAGATCTGTGAACTTCCTCCCAATAAACAATTTATACTACTTTTATTTTTTTAATTAATTTTCTAGTGGCAAGATTATCATTAAAACATGAGAATTTACCAAATTATAAATGACATTTCATAAGTTTTCTTTAAACAGATTTTGTTGTATTTTTTTTTTGTAATTTGATAAAGCATATTAATAAAAATCATAAGTATAAGGTACAATTACGGAAATATGTCAGTTCCATTTAGAAACAACTCTTATAGTGCAACCTTGTGAATGTCCGGACCACCAATAACAGCAAAGTTTATTTCACTATGGTAAAGTTGATTTATTCGTATCTTATATAATAAATATTGATGAATTTTCTTACTTCAATATGTTACCAGTGTGTTCATCAGTGGTTGCTAAAATGACGCAGTTGTATTGTTCACAATTACATGTACAAATTTGGACCACCGAGATGTCGCAACCTGACGCAAGAAAATTCTGCACAGATATAGGCGGGAAATTAGCCAAAGTGGACAAGGACTGGAAATTCAATGCTATTCAAACACTTATACGTGACTGTCCAGGTTAACTGTTTTTCTTCAGTATTAAAAGACGGCAAGACATGATTCTTTGGCCATCGTTTATTCTTACAACAAAACAACAAACAATTCACCGAGGCAACGAGACCATGTTATGACACAATATTTATTTAATATTTAATTGATGATGCAATTCAATATAGGGTCCAATGACATAATTTATGCTAAGGTACCAGAAATTTGTAAATATAATATCACCTCTTGTCACGACAAACCTCATATAATATCACCTCTTGTCACGACAAACCTCATTGATTTCAAATTTCAACTCTCAGTCACATGGCGATATACTTTTGTCCTAAAAAAGATTTTATATGACTGACACAGTGTATGTAGTATTTGGCGCATAGCGATATAAAATTGCTCATTTATTAGACTGAGATAATGCTGTCCGGTTTAGAGACAAAACGGAAAACACGGGACTTATATTAATTTTTATATCATTATATAAACCAGCGGATTGTAAAACAAATGCCCATTTGGAAAATAGCCCTCCAGGACTCTTGCCCACTGGACAATGGTCAAATAACACAAAATGTCACAAAGCCGACTAGAATAATACCCCACTTAAATTCATCATATTTTCATATATCCTTCGAAAGAAGGAAAAAGAGTAATTATTTACCACAATAAGAATAACAAAACTAATTAAAACAAGCAACACAACAGTACAAGTTATCACAAAAAAACTAAAACGTCTACTCATCAAATTTTCTTTAGTAAATTAGTGTATCATACAAAACATTCTACGTCCGAAACTGATGCTTTTGTGAATTATGAAAGATTTTAATACTTCTCCATAAAAAGCGTTTATATTTGAGTTACTTGATTATATTCTTTGCGGAATATTATTACAAAAATGTATTGTCATACTGAAGTACGAAAATTTATCCTTAATACAGTTAGTACGCGGTCTGATATTATTATAAGATCGTAAAGTATAGTTGAACGTAGATGATAGTTCTCATTTTAGCAAAAATAAGAAGCTGTGTGTTTTCTATGCATCTAATTAAGAAATGGAGCAATTAATGAGTTTAAAAATATAGGTATCGTAAGTATAAGTGTTTATCAAATTCCATACGAAAATGTCCAAATATGATTGTTGAACACTTTTTGATAAGCCGTGGGCAACTGTCCTCTCCTGCTCAATATCGCAATGGACTATTGGACTGGTGGGATTGTCCAATGAGTTATTGTTCCGGTGTGCTTTTTGAAAATGTGTTAAATGCCAGCAATTTTGTTTTGATTCACACATTGTTAACATTTGAAATACAAAGTAGGAAATGTTAAACTTGTGGACTGCTCTTTCTTTTATCATTACATAAACTAGCTGATTGTCTTTTGGTAAACACTTTCTTTATTATTTTATTTTGTTTTCTTCCAGCTTTAAATACTGGTCAATATTGGGTAGATGGCTATAATGCTAACACTGGAAAAGATGATTGGAAATTTTCTGACAATACCTTGGTACCCATGAACAAACATTTCTGGAAAGACAATGCTCCAAATGACGGGAATGGTATTTCTGTTTGCTTTCGAATGGTGCGTCACAGTACGGATAAATTAGGGGACCATCGTTTCGACGATTATACATGTTCGGCAAAGTTTGGCTATATATGTCAACAAAAGTAACAGATACATTGCCATTGAAAGCAAATCGCATCAAGTGCAAGTACATTATTGTTAGTTTCACTTTAGAATATTTAATGACTGTGTGTACCAAAACAGGATGTCATATTGTGTTCATGGTGTTTTCTGTGAATCTGTTCTTTTAATCTCATCTCTGTTTTCCTTGACATTGTGAAAGTCTAATTATGTTAAAATCATGTAGTCACACTCGAATAACACAGAGACAATTTGTTTTATAAATAAAATTGTATGACCATTTTACTTATGTTGTATTATAAAATGGTATTTATCTGGATGTACAAGTCAAATGTGATGACGAGAGATGAACAATATTGAACATACATTTGAAATACACTGTTTCATACTAATAATATATTATCACGAAGCAAGATAACAAATATAGTTTTTTTAAACTTAAGAGATGTACATAATAACCACAAATATTCACCGAGTCAAACTGACTTTTAAGCTATTTTAGTCCCACCAACTACCAGAATTAATGATGCATAAGTTTTATTATTGCTGAAAATGACTAAATACTAAAAATGCTTAGGTTAGAAATGATAATTGTACCGAACTGAAACAGACAAAAAAAGTTATTTTATCGTGATCTGAAACAAATCATTAGTTTCTTTTATTTTTTGTATCCTTTGCTTTCAAGTCAAACCAATAATATACAGGTTTTTTGCTGATTTAGTGGTGGACAAAAACATCGAGAAGGCACCAATCAGACGGCCCTATAACTTTCCGTAAGCTAGCTGGATAGCTTTAAGTATCCAAAGTATATATCGGAATTCAAATCTACAATGGACAAGGGTAAGTGCTTTGAGGTGAGCGGTCTTACTTACACCGCCACTTTCAGGAACTACGGTGTTTTCAGTAGACTACTGACAGCAATGTAAAACTATGTATTGTATTTGGCAATATAATCAACTTTCAGTGAAATTATAAATATTATAACATTATACTATAACATCTTGATACTAGTATATATAAAATGAAGAAAAATTATCGTTAAAATTCACTTCATTTCTAGTGAAAATGACTCGTCATTGCAAATAAATGCATATAATACATATACATACAAATATATGATGATACATTTTAAATTGAAACAATGTGAACTCATGAGTAAAGGTTTATTAACACAACAAAATAATTTTGATACATTTATATATCCAGGGCTCGTTGAAACAACAACAACAACAACCACAAAACAATATAAAAACTAGAAAAGCAAATAGCAGCTGTCCAAACGGTTATTGTAAATCTAATCATGAATAATTGTATATACATTGTACATTGTAATAATATCTGAAAGCAGAATAATGCATTTTCGGTATAAACATTTGACATGAAGTGGTTCTTGTTATATTGGCTGCTTACAAAAATATACGACTATACAAAAAACTTGGAAGAGGAAGATCCTATGAAACAAAAAGCAAACGAAACAAAGCAAATAGTTGACAAATGCAAATTAGGTTGGATTGAGTATGTTCATTAAAGGCAATATTATGTGAAAAAACTGGCACTCTCTTAAGCAACGGCTTAAGCGGTATTCAATTTTCAGCTCTATTAGATATTGGTTCATGAACACAAAATCTGGAAAAAAGAAAGAACTCTCGGAAGCTAAACAAAAATATTTAAATGAAAATTGCAGATTTGGTTTTGATTGAGTCTGTTCATTAGAGATAATGTAAAAGTTTAGCATATCCAACGCTGCCTTGCACCTGCATAAAGTGGTATCAAATATTCAACAATATCGAGCTGAAATTAACGACCTAAAATCGTATAATCACTAAGGCATTTTAAGGTAATAAGGATTTTGCTTGAAACGATGGATACTCTCAAACAAAGTATCGTACAAAAAAGTAAGGAGAAGTTTTAAGTGAGAAAATTATAGGGAAAGTGCATACATTAATTCAAAATTCAAACAAGTTAACAAGTTGTGTTTTTAGCTCACCTGTCACAAAGTGACAGGGTAAGCTTTTGTGATCGCTTTTAGCCCGGCGTCCGTCCGTCCGTCGTCCATAGACTTTTACTTTAAATGACATTTCCTCATAAACCGCTGAGCCAATTTCATCCAAACATCACAGGAATGTTCCTTTGGTAGTCACCTTTCAAAATTGTTCAAAGAATTTAATTCCATGCAGAACTCTGGTTGCCATGGCAACCGATAGAAAAAAACTTAAAATATCTTCTTTTAAAAAACCCAAAGAGGTAGAGCTGAGATATTTGGCATGAAACATCTTCTAGTGAGTGTCTATCAAGTTGTTCAAATAAAAGTCCTTGGGTCAAAACTGGCCCCGCCCCGGGGGTCATTGATTTTCCCTATATGTATATAGTAAAAACATAAAAAAATCTTCTTTTAAAGAACCCAAAGAGCTAGAGCTAAGATATTTAGCATGAAACATGTTCTAATGGGTGTCTACAAAGTTTGTTCAAATAAAAGCCATGGGGTCAAAATTGGCCCCGCCCCAGGGGGTCATTAATTTTCCCTTTATGCATATAGTAAAAACTTATAAAATCTTCTTTTAAAGAACCAAAAGAGCTAGAGCTAAGATATTTAGCATGAAACATCTTCTAATGAGTTTCTATCAAGTTTGTTCAAATAAAAGCCCTGGGGTCAAAATTGGCACCGCCCCAGGGGGTCATTGATTTTCCCTATATGCATATAGTAAAAACTTAAAAAAATCTTCTTTTAGAGAACCCAAAGAGCTAGAGCTAAGATACTTAGCATGAAAGATGTTCTAATGGGTGTCCACCAAATTTGTTCAAATAAGAGCCCTGGGGTTAAAATTGACCCTGTCCCGGGGGTCATTGATTTTTCTTATACGTGTATTGCAAAAACGTTTTAAAACAATCTTCTTTGAAAAAACCTAAATAGCTAGAGTTTAGATATTAAGCATGAAACATCTTCCAGTTAGTGTATTCAAAGTTTGTTCAAATAAAAGCCCTGGGGTCAAAATTGGCCCTGCCCCTGGGGACATTAATTTTCCATATATGTGTATAGCAAAAACTTAAAAATCTTCTTTGAATAAAAACAAAAAGCTAGAGTTTAGATATTAAGCATGAAACATCTTCTAGTGAGTGTCTTCAAAGTTTGTTCAAATAAAAGCCCTGGGGTTAAAACTGGCCCCGTCCTAGGGATGTCATTGCTTTTAACTATATGTGTATAATAAAAACTTAAAAAATCTTTGTTTTAAAAACTCAACGAGCTAGACCTTAAATGTTTAGCATGAAACATCTTCTAATGAGTGTCTACCAATTTTGTTCAAATAAAAGCCCTGGGGTTTAAACTGGTCCCGCTCTGTGAACCTATATACAGGTGAGCGACTTCAGGGACACCATGGCCCTCTTGTTTCTCATTATAGAATGGTCAGTCATCAACAGGACCCAAACTTCAGAGTTCCCATCTAGCCGTTTCCGATTATTTGAGCCGCGTCACATCACAACCGACATAGTGCGTTTGCGACCAGCATAGATCCAGACAAGCCTCCGCATCCGCGCAGTCTGATCAGGACCCATGCTGTTCGCTTACAAACCCTATTACAAGTAGAACAGCATGGATCCTGATCAGACTGCGCGGATGCGCAGGCTGGTCTGGAGCCATGCTGGTCGCAAACCCATTATGTTGGTTTTGTCGTGACACGGCTCAATTAAACAAATGATAAAAAGTAGCTGACAGGCTTGTGAGAGACAAAACTTAACGCTAGCTTGCACTCATCAATTCCATTGATCACATAGAGCCTTCAGCATTATCAATTTGCCGTTTTTGGCGTTCTTTAGTGATTTCCTTTCGTTATGTTGTTTTTATTTTGTGCAAAAATAACACTGAACCTAAAAGCCTTCAATAAATAAAGATCTGTAAGTTTGTTGTAATTTCTTTACTGATTAAGGAATTAATTAAGTTTTAAAGTGTTGTTAGTAGTAGTATATGACGATGTTGTTTTTCATCGCTCTTCCGTTTGAGCTTTGGGATGATGGAAATTATTTTAGTTAGTAGTAGCTTACGTCCGCTCTTTCGTTTAGTCTACAGGTTAATTGTCTGTCTCCTATTTCAGCTAGATCGGGATCATGACCATGTCATCAGTATTTGTTAGAGCAAGGACGTAAACCAAAATAAGTTTAAAAATAACCTGCAATCATTTGTCGCCAATTAGCTAAAGTAAATATATATAGAAATGGAATTGTAAATTAAAATCCACTTGGAGTACTAAAATCAATGTTGCGTTGTTTGAAGAATCCCATTTGTTTGCGCGCCTTTAACATTAATGAATAGTTAAGATATGGCAAATGCCAAAATTATTTTATTTTATTGATTAAAACCTTGACGACACTAAACTGTCTGGAACTGTTAATTAAGTAAATTGAAACCACTTGGAGAAATAGATTAATGTTGCGCTGTGCAAAGAATCACACTCCATTCTTCCTTTTCCGCGAGGGTTTGTCCTAATATTCTGTTACAAAACTGTTTAAAAGCAAAATATAAAATGTACAAATTTTCCATAGCACAGATACGTTGACTTACAGGTGACATGTGTGCGCGAGTGCGCGTGTGTGCGTGTACGTGCGTGTACGTGTGTGTTCATTTACTGCCTTCTGCTGTAAAAAATGAATGAAAAGATAAGTTCTCTCATTTATTTGCGAATATGATTTATATGTAATATACACAAAAAACAATCATACACCGGTCATGCTCATCGAGAGTTATCACCGTAAACCTAGACATCCCTTTTTGTACTGACAGCCGGTGTAAGATCCTAATAATACCCGTACATTAAGTGTCTTTCTCAAAGTTTTTTCGTAGCATTCAACGCATTCATAAGGTGTCGCTTTACGCATACTTCGTCAAAAAATTGTTGTAACTTGATAGTGTCTGCATGACCTCGTCATAAATTCGAACATATTATGTCGACAAAATGCCTCAATGCATGCAGTGTATTGACTGAAAGAATTTTATGACAGGAATGTCGTCAGGGGACTAAGGATTTAGTAACCTCCGTTTATCTTAATCCATATTTGCAAATTTTTTACTCTTTATGGTTTAAAAAATAATTATAGGCCAGGGCGTCTGGTGGGGTTCATCCCCTTAAGCCCCTACCTATGGGACCGGGCCTGCGAATGTTGATGAACTTTTATATTTGGTACATTAATTATTAAGTCATAAAAAATGTTATCACTATATATACATCGCTGCGTCGCATGTTGTTCGGTCGTTGCCATTATAGCTTTCCTATTTTCTTTAGCTGCTTTCATTTGTTATATTCTCATTCTTTCTGATTGATAAGTTAATAATAGATAACGTTTCGTTATATCAGCAGAGTAAGTGATATTTTGTAGACAAAACATCCGATATTTAAGAGATACATAATTGTTTAAACGTATATATACCAAATGCTTATTTTCTTACCTGCGCAATCATAATTTAAAAAAGTAATTGTAATAAATATTTTGTAAATGACTTGATGTTATATA